CCAGGAATACAAGAGGGTTGGATATAAAGTGCCTGGTGCTGTGTTACTGTTGGGTTATTTTATAACATATGACAGTAACTATATGACCAGCTGCCTATCCCATTTCTTCCCTGTGTACAGTGAACTGACAACATCAAGACAGGCTGTCAAACACTTCACATTTCAGTGCTTTATGTCTGCAAAAAGCCATCCATTTATCAACAGCTTTTTAATCTATAAAAAGCCTGCAAATTTTACTTTTCCATTTTCACAAAGACAAGACAGAAAATTCATCACTTTCACCCAAAGTGGAACAGAGATCAAAAACACATCCATAAGCACTTGCAGCTCAAACTCTGATAACTAACTGCAATTCTTCCTTTCTGAAAATCCATGGCTGTGAGGCAAATCTTCAAAAATAGCACATGAAAAATTACACAAGACTACAATAATAGTCTCGGAATCAGTTTTCTCCATAAAAATGTATCTAATCCAGCAGGCACACTGAATACGTTAAATCCAGACATGTGGGAGACTGCTCAAGAACAGAAAAGCAGGAGGAAAATGTGTGAGCACACATAATAAAGATGCTACTTACGATGAAGACAAAAACAGATCAGTCAGGTGGAAAAAGCGAGCTCGGTACTTCACGTGATAGATGGAAGGGTCTAACAGACTGTACAGCTTCTTGTAAAAGTCAGGATACTCCCTGTTGAAAAAAGGAAAAATACAACATCCATTAGTGGTGTACAGAGGGACTGTGTCTAAATCTATTTGTGCTTTCATTAACAGCACCCCAGCCCACTGCTGTGCTCTGTTTAGCTCTCTTAGGCTTCCCTCTACAGTCTCCACTTGAAAACAAGCTGCAAGGTGATTTTATGGCTCTTGCAGTGCCCAGCTATCTTCAGGGTGTGAAGCCATGTCCAGCGACTGCAAATGGTACAGGATGCAGTGAAAGGGACACCAAAGACCATGGCTTCACCCTGTAATCAGATCAATGGAAATTGATTTTTAAGTGCTGAGCAACCACAGCCTAGAGAACAGACTATTTAGGTTCAGTTGTACAAGAAATCAGACAGCAAAAGAAGCTCAGCATCCAAACAGCCTGAGCCTCTTGTGCAGTTTGGCTTTCTCATGGGGGAATTTCAAAGCCTAAAGGTGTAGTGAATCCATTTCAGTTTCTCTTACATAAAGACATAAATGCAAAAACCCATGTTACTTTAAACAATATACTCTTTTTACTTACAGATTATGCTGATGAATCAAAATAAACAACCCATTTAGGGCTAGAAGACTGATTGCTCCACCTGTAAGAAAACAGACAGATATCAACACAACAAAAATAAGTAGAAAAAAATAATCAAGTTTTTTTCTATAATACAATCTTCCCAGAAGGAAAGCAAAACTCAATAGGTGAAATCAGAGCCAGTGTGATGGCTGAAAGGTGACACAATTTCATCTACACCTTTCCAGAGACTCCCAAGATTCCTACAAAGATTAAGCTGTAGTTTAGTAGAACAAATGTTCAACAACTGAGACACAAAATGTGCTGCTCTAATTCCTAAACAAAGTCACAGTGGGGAGGCAAAAGTCTGCTCAAAAAGCACATTTCTGCAGGAATCTGGATCCTGTGTCTGGATCAGCAGCACTGGCTGAACTCCGTATTTAAAACATCTTACTCCAGTGTTCTACTCTTCCCCAAAGCCTTAAATATACACACAAGGAGCAATGACATTGACAAACACAGGCAAAATCATCTCACTTTCAGGGACAATGGAGTTGACCCTAGCTCCTTAGCTCCATCCCAGCCAGAAGTACACCCATTCCACCACCCAGGGTGTGGTGCTGCATCCAGCAGAGCTTCCAAGTCCATCTGTCCCATGCTGGGGGTGCCACAAAGGACAAAAGGCTGTTCTCACTCACCTATGCCATAGGCCACTGTCAAGAAGTCCATCATGAGAGTGGGCTCGTTCATGTAAGGCAGGACAGAGTCGTGCAGAATGACAAGAACCTTTTTGTAAAGGCCAGGGGGCAGCTGTGAAGGACAAAACAACACAGAGGAGAACTGCAAGGGAGAACTCAGTCAGCAGCAGCAACCTGTGTCTCAAAAAAGCAATGCACAAGCAGAAGGGAATGTGCCAGGAAAATACAGAACAGCTTGCAGCAGCAGTTCCCAAATGGGAGAGTTTACAAGTGACACCAAGGAAGTTCACTCAAGAAGCAGGAGCTGACAGCTAACAGCCTCATCACTCAGATGGGGAAAACCACCAGGAAAAAGGCTGGGGAAGGTTCAGCTTGTGAGCAGAGATTGTAATGCTGCAGATCACCCTTATGGGCAGAGATGTTTAAGGCAGGGAAAAAAGGCTGAGGGTAAGGAGAAAAAGCAGGTCATATATGAGGTCATGTTTCTTGGCAGAGTGATCCAACAGAAATGGTCACTGGGCTGTTCCCACCCAACACTCAAAACATTCTGGGGTCCTACCAGCAGCTTCCTGCACGGCTGGACAAAACTATTAAGGATCAGCCATCCTTAAACTAAAGAGCAATGCAGATCAGTGGCAGAAGTAACACTTACCTTGTGCTTCAAAAAAGTCAGCCACATTTTCTCAAACACCTGTTTGTGTGCCTTAAAACAGAATTGCAAATGGCAAGTTAAACACACTACTAGAGATAATGCTCTGTTTTAAGCAGACAAAATTTCAATTCTAATGCACCAAATGAACAGTTACCTGCAGCTTTGAAAATTTCAACTCCTCACGGTTATCTAAGAAGAAAGAGAAACCAGATGTTAAACTTGAAATGGATATTCAAAAAATGAAGATGACCCTTTTTGACTTAGCCCTTTGATGCTCTAAAAACCTGGGCTGAAGTACCTAATTTGATACAAGGCCACAACAGACACCCTGCAAACTGAGGAATGTGGATTTTTAAGACTGTTTAGAATCACAGTGATCAAACAAGCAGACATTCTTCATCAGCAAACAATAACAAAGTCTTTACATACTAAAAATCATAAACCTAATTTCCTTTTCACACACAGTATATCATGCAGAGTTTACTAACCTTGCTTGACCATAAATTTGACCATCTCAGACTCTTTGTTTGGCATGTTAATAGGTGAGATGAGGGAAAATACATTCTGCTGGTAAAAAGGCAGCGGCCTCTGAGGAAAAAAGCATATAAACAAACATGAAGCAAGTTCCACATCAGATAACAAGATGCTGGGCTTCAATATTGCCCTGTATTCAAGTACTGAATATATTTAGGAAAAAGAAAGGGAAAATGATGATTAAACTACACACCGGTATCTTCTCTGTTGCAGCCTCAGCCTGGAGCACTACATGTTTATCCAACATGAAACCTATCTCTGCACTTATTGTCGTTTAACAAAACTGGTGGATTCAATGAAGGAAACACGTTCTTCCTCTGCACCAGTGTAAACAGAATTAAAAGTTCTCTGTGTGTCACCCAAGCTGTAAGGATTTGGGTAAAACAAGCACGGAGCTTAGACCAGAAAGAACAGTACGTGTTTTGAGTAAAGCCAGTCTTGGCATACTGACACACATACGAAAAAAATCAATGCCTCCAGTGGGCACACTCATTTCTCTGGCTTCCAAATATTTCCATACACTACTAACTCCTCCCTGCTTCACACACAAGATACACAACCCAGAGCAGCTCATCCAGAGCCACCTGAGCAGTAACAATTTGTTACCTCCTTTGTCTTTTGCATGACCTGCCCGATGCTGGCAGTGACAGCCTTCATGACAAAGTACCGCACGTCGTCGTACTCCAGGTACTCCTGGAAGCGGGAGATCAGCAGTGAGGCGTCCTCGGTGGTGGGAAGCAAACCATCAACAACCACCTAACAAAGGGTTTGGAAAAGAAAGCAACGACTCAGTCTCTCACAGCACTGGAGAACAGAGTGAGAGGCTGAGGGCACATGAATTCGTGTGCCAACAGGTCACTGACAAGAGGGACTTCTCAGTTCTGCAGCTTACCTTAAGAAGGTCACATGGAAACGTTAAAGTTCCCTTCCACTCTATTTTGATCAACGGATACTGTGCCTCCAATTCCACAAACTTCATGAGCGTGCAGAGTGCCAACTCCTTTAAAAAAAAAAGAAAGCAACATCACAAAAAAACCCCAAAAAAACACCTAAACAAGAACACCAAAGGTCAAATTCAAAGGAAGAATAATATATTATTTCCTGGGAAGGCTGCATGCTCGCTGCTGGTGAGCAGAGCATCAGTGTTGTCTTACAGCACTGCCTGCCCTCCCACACTGAAATGCCGGGCGAGAGCCCCAAGGGAGCCCCGTGAAACCCCCGTGGGCCAGCAGCGGGCTCAGAACCCACCTTGACCTGGAAGGCGTCGTGCCCCAGGAGCTCGCCCAGGCAGCCCACGCAGTCCCTGTAGCGGTGCCTCATCCATATCCTGTACTTGTCCTCGGCGCTGTAGCTCTCTGTGAGGGACAGACACACACACACAGGCTGGGCTCGGGCAGGGCCGCGCCTGTCCCGGGCAGCGCCGCGGGCCCCGCTCCGTGCTCACCGCCCAGAGCGGCGTCCTGGTCGGGCAGCGGCCCCACGAACAGCTCCCGCCGCTCCAGCAGCGCCCCGAACAGCCGGCTGCAGGTCCTGGCGGCGCTCACGATGTCCTCCGGCTCCTCCTGGCCCTGGGGAACAGCGTGTCAGAGCGGCGGCCCGGCCGCACTGCCCTCCCTCAGCCCGCTCCCCCGGCCCGACCCGGCCCGGCCCGCACCGCCAGCGGCTCCAGGAGCTCGAAGACGCGGTTGGCGCTGGAGCGGCTGCCCAGCACGGCCTCCAGGCAGGCGGCGAGCGCGGCCTCCCGCGCCATGCCCGCATGGGAGGATGGAGGAGGAGCCGCGGCCGCTCCGCCCGCAGGCGGGGCCGGCAGCGGGGCGGGGATCGCGATCCGGACCGGGATCGGGATCCGTGCCGCCGCCCACACCGCCCCTCCCGGTAACACCCCCGTACAGAAGGCAGGGCGAGGCGGCGGTATAAAAATGTACACTTTATTACACCTTCAGGTAGGATACAGCACTATTCCTTATCATCCTACTGGGTCGAGTACAAATGTTCATCACTTATGTACAGGCTGACTTCCTAACACACTCCCGGGAGAAAGACACATCGAGAAGAAGAAAAAAAAAATAATTAGAAGGAAAAAAATATGGTGACTTTTTAACTTCATCAACTGACCTAAACAAGAAACAATCGCCTCTTTAGACACCAAATCAGACCAGCACAACGACGTAGCCAACAGCTCTCCCACTGCTGGAAGTGTTCCCCCCCACCCCGACCTTCATGCACATCATAAAAGCTAAACACTTAAAAGTAAAACTGGGGCTACCTAAGCAATGTTTTTGGATGAGCAAGGCTATACTGTACACAGTGTCACTATCCATTACCACTGCATCTGCTTTGCATTTTAAACTACTCTGCTGTCAGCAGTGCCAGCTCCCTGGCCGGCAGTGAAGATTAGGGGATGGCACATGCCAGGGGTTAGCAGGGTCAGGGGAACACTACTGCATGCAAAAACAGCTTAAAAAAAAATGCCCTTGTGTTTGTACACCTGAGGGTCCAAAAAAAAAGTATGCAGGACAAAAGGGGTATAAAATAAAAAAATCAGGAACGCTGCCTGAGCCAATGTTTGCATTTGTGATCTGAACAGAACTGGCTGTACCTATCCCAACTAACACAGAGGAGCTGGCTGAGAATGCTTTCTTGTTTAAGCCATGTGGATTGCCAGGTACCAACAAGTGTGGACATACAGAGGTAAAAACAAAATACATGCTTTCCTTGCCCTTAAATAGGCTCCTTTCCTAAAAGAGTAAAAAATGAAAAAATAATTTTAAAACCATCTCAGAAAAGGAATGTTGTAATTTTGTCTGGATTTTACACATTGTGCAGTTTTATGGCCAAAGTAAAATAAATCCCTTCAAGCCACCATGGGTTTTTTGATTCCTCACTCAGTGCTGTTTGCAAATTCTGTTATTCATTGTATGCAAGAAAAGTAAAGAAACCCCCCACAGTTCTATGCAGCTTTTTGCTTTTTTTTTTTTTTTTCTCCATAACAATAAGGCAAACTGATTTGGAGGAAGAGGCCACGCTCTATTCACATCCAAAATACCCACCTGAAGATACATTCATTGTTAGCTTTAGTAAAAGAATAGTACAAAAGTTAGATCTTACTCTTTACACAGTTGAAGAATTAAGTCTTAGATTTAATTTCACTATTCTCCCCTTCCCCCAGCCCCCCACCCCCCAAGCTGAAAGCCGTGTAAAAAGTACTGAACATTTAAACATGTTGCAAGAGCAGAATGAAACTGAGAGATTAGATTTTATCAGCTGGAGATTTTTTGTGACAGAAGTCCCATGAGAAACAGCTATGGATCATCTGTTGAGCTGTATCTACTAAACAATTCTTTTACAAAAAAAAATGGGCTACACTTTAATACACATTTACTATCAACACAGTATTTACTCAGCTCATGCCTAAAATATCCATTATTTTAAAGTGAAATACGAGAATGAGCACACAGGTTGGGTGATTCAGTAAACTGTACACAAAAACTACTAACAAACATTTTAAAAGACTTACAAAAATGGAGAATGAAACTTTTTTTTTTCCTTTTTAATTACATATACTTACAGGTTTTCACATTTATTGGCTAAACTCTGCAGGCAGCACTTCAAGCCTGTGTTAGATCTTCCAGGGGTGTTTACCACAGGGAAGAACAACACAGAGCTTTTGTACAGATGGAAAATACTGTGCTGTATCAACTACACCTGGATCTTTGTGTGGCTTCACTGTGGGTACTGAGCACACACTGAACTACAGCAAGGAGCTGCACATGCCCACAGGCAGGTGTGGTGTTCTAACACAGATGGATTTTACTGACATTTATGGCTGATCACCATTTCACTTTTGAGAAGCTGGGCAGAATTTCAACCTAAGTAATGCTTGCTTTATGTGGTTTAAATGAGCACAGAGAACACAGGCAGAATGCATCTTGTACAGAGTTTGAGTGCTAAACAGTTGCTAATACACTGAAGTTACACGTGAGTTTTCATGTTTAAATGTTCACCAGCAAGAAACCTTCTGCTACAAAAAAAAAAAAAAAAATAGAGGTGTTTTGTCTTCATTTGGATGTTTGGAGTAGCTTCTCACTCGTCTCAGCAAACACAAAACACTGTGTTTCTCTGTTACTGCAATAGTTCAACTTGGTTTAGTAGGTGCCTTTAATCTGACAGTCGGTGTCCTCATCTGTACTTTTGCTTGCTGACTCTGGGCCTCAGGTGTTGCTGGTGTCTGGGCTGGGTTCTGTACACCTGGAGCCTGAACCTGGGGAGATGCTGTGGTCACCACCTGCTGCTGGATCAGTTTCTGCTGCACGACCTGAGCAGTAGCAGTGGTTGCAGGGATCACCTGAACCTGCTGTTGACCTGCTGTCGTCTGAGAAAGGGTCACAGTCTGGGGCTGAGCTTGTACCTGCACATCAGGAGGAAAAGGCAATTACTAAATGGTTTGGCATTAAACTGAGCAATCCTCACATTTCTGCTCTACAGAAGGAATTCTGCTTCCTTAGGTATTTGCTCTCTTAACTGACAAACAACTCGGACAATGATTCTGGGAACAGAGGCTCTGTGGTTTCACTGAGAAACACCACTTTGTCACATTTTCTAGAGCCTTATAAATCAGAACTAAGAGCCAAAGTCCCTGTAACTCGGGTCTCTGCAGTGCAAATCCAAGGACATGTCCTCAGATACTTTCAGAAGGCAGATGAAAGGTATAGAAACCCTACCAGATATACAGGAAAATTCCTGCACTGCAGAAGCAAAGGAGCAGGGAAAAGAACAGAAAGACAGCCAGAAGACCAAAGAGGTTAAAATGCTGCCTCTGCACCCATATTGTGACAATAAATACAGTCACTGAGGCTTCCCACCAGTCTCTGCCATTTCCCTTTCAGACTACAGCTGCCAGTCTCTATTGCAAATTTATGGCAGAATAGTTTGACTCCATCCAGACATTTAATTTGCATAGCTCTACCCAGAGCAAGGGAGAAAAAAAAAATCAACATCTCCTTGTTCAGAGGACAAGGTAATGAAAATTGAGCAGCTTCAGCTGTCTTTGTCAGATGCAGAAACGAAACAAAGCTACAAGGACTTCTCCAGAGGAAAAATTAACACTTGAATGCTCCAAAAGGATTCCAGCAGGAAGCACTAAAAATGCAGGTAAAAAGATTGCCACATACACATAAAGACCACAGTTTAAAAAATACTTATGGCCTAAACCTACTGCCACTGAAGTCACTGGTGTGCATGGGAGGGAAACTATTTGTCTTTATGCCACCATTGATGACTTTTGAAAATGATCTAGCAGCTCTTCCTGACTACAGAGGGCAACTGATGTGTTGACTGATGAGGTTTCTACTTCCTGCTGTGTACATTGCCCTTGAAGCATTCACATCTGAGGTGGTTATCAGACAGCTTACACCACTTTATCACCATTTTGAGATAAACAGTCAAAGATTTTATTCTGCAGTAAAACTCTGCACTGTGAACTGTGGCAGGTCAAGAGCCAACTGGCCCAGACTTGTGCACCAAAGGCAGGAACTTCATCCACCCTCCAAAGCTAAATCACTCCTGCCAATCAACTGCCCAAGGTAGGCCTGTTGCTAATGATCTGGATGACATTGTTCTAAACAATTGTTCTGAACAATTCTAAACTGCCTGGTCGTTAGGGGAGGGGAACCAAACCACCTGAGCTTCTCCTGCCTGAGCCCTGTCTGTTACCAGCACACATCTGGAACAGGTACCACACCGTTCTGCCTTTCACACAGCACTTAGCACAGCTCAATGAACTGAAACAAAACAACTTGTAACCTTCAATTTGTCCTAACTTTTTGTGGAAAAAGTTCAGATGGTGCTCATTAGTTTAATTAATTGCTATATTGACTATACATCACCAGAAACCAATTTTTAAACATCCTTTCAGCTCTAGAAAACACCTTTAAAAATCTGTTTTTCAGCTTATCTACAGTGATGAACAAACATTGCTACAAATGTAATGAAAGTTTTAGACCAGAGAATATACCTCAGCTGATTCAGTATTCAAGACTTATTTTTAGAGAAAGGGACTTTCTGTATCCTTCAAAAATACTATCTATGCCACACATAACATGAAAAATACACACATTCCAAAAAAATGAGCTTTTCTGAAGATCATGTTTGCAGTGCTATATTTGACAAGAGCAAAACGTACCTGTTGGGAAACTGAAACCATCTGCTGAATGTTGGCAACAGTAGCCTGTTGCTGGACCACTTGTGGGAGTTTTGCAACCTGTGGTGATATAAAATAAAGAAAGATTGGATCAAAATAAAAAGCTGCTGATAGCAGCAAAACACCAAGCCCTGTTAATGGTAAGTTGCAGCTTGGCATTTTCAGTGAGGTTGAATGTTTATGAAACATTTTAGGTCCGTGAAAAGAACTTAGCTAGGGGAGGAAGAGAAATATTTTCACTTTTAACTACAACAGAGTCATTTCCTCCCGACTACCTAGAAAACTAGGGAAACACATGAGTTCTAACAGGTTCCATTATCTGGGATATACTTTTTAAAGAGTAAGGCTTCCAATTCCTAACCCCCTTCTTTTTCCTTGGTTAGGCTGATCCAGTTATGCAGAAAAGAAAGCATGTGAGTTGTCACCTACTCTAGGCTACCAGAGATTAGCTGTGAGGCAGCACCAGAAACAGGAAAAACTCTGGCTGAATTTTCCTTAGTAAACACAGTATGGAATCCCTTGCCTAACAAAAAGGAGTAACTCAATTATTTTATTTCAAAGAGGAAAGGCAAACTTGCAGCTCACAATTGCTCTGACTTGCTGCAAGGCCACATATGCAGCACCAGTGAATTTTATTAAAAAGTCAATTTAAATGAATGTGTGACTAGAATTAAAATGAGTGGGTGCTGAGTTCTACCTCACCTGTTGTCTTTACAATTCTCCAGTCCCAGTACAGTTTAAGGGTGTAAACCTGTGTTACCTGTACCTGAATCTGGGCCTGCACTTGCTGGGTTCCACCTGGTTTCTGGGTTTGGGAAATTGGAGTTGTTAAGAACTGTGTTTTAATGGCAGGCTGTGTAGCATAAGTTACTTTTTGCTGCTGTGAAGTCTGCTGTTGGGTCTGGACCGTAACCTGTTGAGCATTTATCTGCACAAGAGAAAAAAAGGCATCAATGACTACAAAAGATAAGTGTATTTTAAAGAATAGGTATGTGGGGGGAAAAAAGATTAGTTACATTTAATTACTGAAAAAAATTCTCCCAGGATTAGCAATAAAAAAAATGAGCACTAGATGAAAGCCTTCATGCATTTACACAAGTATTCAGAATTAAAGCGTTTAATGAAAAGTTTCTCTCTTACACACAACACTCACACAACAATACACTTACTAAAAACTACCAATCAACCATTTTACAGGAAAAATGAAGCATGTGAGAACCTGTTCTCTCTAGATATATCTAAGATGCACCCCTAGAAATCCTGACTGACTGTCTAGGGGTGTCCTGGTCATCCAGAACCACTGCACAAGTTAATGGCAGAGCAGACAATGGTACCTTTTGCTGCACAGTAGCCTGTCCCTGTGCAACCTGGGGCTGGATGGCTTTCTGCTGCTGTGCTGCTTGGTGGTGCTTGAGTTTCAGCAGCTGCTGGACATGCAGTGGCTGTGCAACTACTGTCTGGCCTCCTGAAAATTGCAGAAATAATTAGAACTGTAAGAGTCTTCAGTTTATTGCTTTGTCCCAGTAATCACAGCTTGCACACACAGATTCTGCTTTAACAGACTTACACATTTGCACAGCTTTGAGCACTAACAACCCACTGATTTTAATGGGAATAAGACATGATTTTGACATTAGAGAAAATTTCTTATCTAAGGGCATGAGTAAGCTAATTTTTTGTTCCAACATCAATCTTCCTACAAGAAAAAAATTGTCTATGCTATAGGAGACTGCTATGAAATACAGTTCTTCCTGTTTCCAACTTGCATTCACATACCTGCTGCTTTCTGTGGCTGCCCAATGGCAACACTAATGCCTGCCACAGTCACAGGGAGTGTGGTGACTCCTGCAGATGACACAACAGCAGCTGGAACAGACACCACTGGAGGCTTTGCCAGAGCAACCTGTGCTGCTTGTGGAGTCTGGGCCTGGATCTGTCCTTGTGCTTGGAGCTGGGAAGCAGGAACACGGGTCTAAGCAGTAAGGAATGAAGATTATTGTACCAGCACAGAAAGATTTGCTGCATATAACAGGTGATTATAAAGTGATAGCTGTAAATTTTTCTAAATGTAATGGCTTCTGTACAGTGACACAATTCAGAGATGGTATCAATGGGTAAGTACAATGTGAAGTTATTTATGTTACAGCTGCTCCTGCAAAGGAAACTTGTGAGCATGAATGAGCAGTTCATTTAAACCAGCCAACAGTGAGATGTCTGAGACTGTTTTTGCCAAGTCAAAGCCAACTCACCAGGCGTGCCACTTGCAGGTTGGTGACCGTAGTGCCCGTGAGGACCGCGCCAGGACGAGGGGCTGTCACAGCAGTGAGCTGCTGCGTTTGCTGCTGCTGCTGCACTTGCACTTGTGCTGTTTGCTGCTGTGCCCCTTGCTGTGTCTGCTGTGCTGCTTGCTGCTGGGGGAGCTGCAGCTTCTGCTTCTGCAACTTGATCAGCTGCTCCTGCAAAAATCAAACATCTCCATCACTCCCAACGGTTTAAATTACAGGAGAAAAATGGAGATTGCATCCAAAGCTTAAAAGGAGAAACATTCTGTGCCAGACTAGAGCTAAGATCAAGTATCTAAAATGTAACTCTCTTACACAATGGCTTCCAGCGAGCAGCAGTAAGTGCTTTCCATCCTACCCTACTCTGCTATTGAAAGTGCTGTCAGACTCACTGCCTGCATGAAATTTTAGTAGGATGAAATTGAAGAGGGAAATACATCTCACTGTAGCCCAAGAAAACAGGACACAACACACACTGCTAAGGAAGCTTGCAGTAATGAGAGCAATGTGCTACATTATTTCATGAGCAGTTCCTCACCTGTGACAATTTCCCTACAGTTTTTATTTGAGCTGGAGACTGGGCTTGTGCCTGAGCCTGGATCTGTGGGACCTGCACCTGAGCAGCCTGCTGCTGTTGTTGCCTCAGAAGCTGGAAGTGTGCAGGGGTGATGGTTTTGCCCGACAGCTGGACTGTTGGTGTAGCTGTGAATAAGGAAAAAACAAAATGTTATGACAAACACTTTTCAACATTCAATTTAACTCATGAATTTCACCTGAGAAGTGGAGCTGTTAAATGCTTATTTTTCTGCTCCAGTACACTTTGTGGATTTACTACATGTAAGAACACATTATCATGAGCATGATGTAAAAGCAGAGTAGATCATAAAATACAAGAGCCTTTCTTCACAATGCCTTTTAGTCAAGACAGTCAATTCTAATATTTTACTGCTAGATTGTTAATAATATTTTTAAATTGCAATGCTTAGCGGCGAAGCTCTCTATTGCCATACTTTATCCAGAAATACTGGAGATAAATGTCATCTGAGCACCAACAATAAAGCAAATTAAAAATCATAGCCCTGTTTAATTTCATCCTAGACTTCCAACATCGTGGGGCTGTGGTGCTGCATCAACAGGAATTCCGGGGCCCTTTGTGCACTACTGGAAAAAGTCCCTGAAGGCAGGATCATTACCTGGTGTGACCTGGGTCACCAAAGACCTTGTCTGGGTCTGCACAGGCGTGAGGTTGGTGGTGACCACGGCGGAAGCCGTCACCGAAGTCACGGCGCGCACGCCCTGCGTGGAGGCGATGGTCACCAGCTCGGTGGACGCCGCCGGCGCCGCGGCCGCTCGGGGCTGGCTGTGAACCACCTGGGCAGTGGCTGTGCCTCCCGAGGTCTGCAAGGGAACACAGCTGTGACTGCTCTCTCCCCACGCCTCGCACTTCCCTGCTGGAATTGTAGTAATTCCCTTCTAGGCAATTTTAAAAACAAGCATGAAAAATGCAAAAGGACAAAAGCCCCAGATCTGTCTAACACATCTGTTTGGATGAATCTCAGAATCAGCATGTGGTTAAATCTTTTTCCATCAGTCTGATCATCAAATTCTTCACCCCATTACAGACATTTGATTTTAGTACCTTTCAATATTTTGCTTTATCTTCCATAGTCTTAAACCATTAACATAATAATAAAGATCATAATTAATAAAGCACAAAACAGTTACAGGCTGAAAATGTTAATGACATAGCAGCACTTCCCCATAAACTATTTTTAACAGTATTATACATTTTTTCTGATAAATCATTCCAGTGTGTTCTGATGTTTTGGTAAGAGAGAGGGGCTTGATAAAGAACCCCAAGAAGCACTTGCATTTGCAAGAAACAGAATTTCTGACAACATGGAAAGCTAAAGCTATGCTAATAAAAATGCAGGGACACAACTAATGACAGGATCTACTCACAGTCAGCGTCCCAGGTATAACAGGGGAGGCCAGACGTTTATTGATGGGCTGGAAGGTGGCAGCAGGGACCCCAGCAACAGTGTTTACAATTACATTTCCACTCACTGTAGCTGAAAGCAAGCCAGGATTAATGTGAGATTCTGAAAGTGAAAATCCCAATGTCCCATCACCTCCTATGCCCAATTACAAAGTCTCCTTACCAGTCTGGATGCTCGTCCCCGTCACTGCTGTCTTGACGGTGCCTGCCTAATTAGAAGACAATTAAGGTAACAGTTCAGAAAAACAATAAAAGAAAACTGAGCATTGCTTAACACAGTGCTGTATTCCAGAAGTGACAAAATAACAAAAATTCAATGGAACACACAAAGATTTCTGCAGTTGTTCTTTGACTCTACAGATCACAGCAACCAATGCATACATAAATCAGGATTCTGCCTTACTAATGAGCAACTGTAGACCAGCCAAGTGTGTGGTAAAGCCTGGTCACTGGACATCCCTGTTAGCAGAGGAAGGGAGCAGTTCCTTGGACAACCACCCACACAGGAACATCACTGAGCACTACATACACAGCAATGCTTGTGGGCCAGAACACATCCTCTGAGTCTTTCTGCAAAAGCTGTGATACTCCTGCTCTGCAGCAAGCAAAATAAATCCACCACTGCCTGCACACATTACTATGCAAACTGGATTGGCTCTAAATACAAAAGCCACAGACCAGTCATCAGACTCATTCAGACTCTAGATTTAGGGAAGACATCAAAACTTTGCACAAATTCTCAGTAAAAGCTCCATGGTGTTTCCTGTAGGATGCATCATTTCACTTGCCTTGCAAAAGTTAATGAATCTTTGGGTTTTAAGCTCTTTAACTGAGTTATTCTTACAGCTACATTCTCTTTTATTCTCTGTATTTTGCAAGTTCTCTGTACAAATACTTCTTGTTGACCATGTATATCTATTCACTCAGACTTCACTAAATGAAAGTCTAAAGTGAAAAAGGAAAAACCATCTTTGCATGGTGTTTTTCCACTTGAGAATGCCAAGATCTGTTGCTACAATGGTACAAATAGTCTTAATAAATCAGGGTACCAGAAGATACCCAGCATAACCAGGGAAAACAAACAAGAAAAAAATATCTTTGATCCCACTATACTGACCTAAAATTCTTTCCAGAGAAAACATGACACAAATACAGCACACACAGAAGAACTGAAGTTACTACATCAGAGGCACCGAGCTCTCCCTTTCTTACCAATACTGCTGTGTTGGCCACAGTAGTGACTGCAGTCTGCACCACTGCCTGTGGCTGCTGAACTACCTGTGCTTGTGCCTGTGCCTGTGGCTGGGCCTGGGCCTGCTGCACGGGGGGCTGCTGGGGGGGCTGCTGGCCCGCCTGGGGCTGCTGGGGCTGGGGGCCCGTCTGCTGCTGGGCCCTCTGCTGCTCTGCCAGCGCCTGCAAGGCAAGGGGCACCTTCAGTCTTCAAGCATGGAACAAGCAAGATGTGGTTTTTATAAAACAAAACAAAACAACGAGACAAAACCTCTTTATTTCTATCCACAAAACCTCTTTAGTTCTAACCAGAGACAGTCCACAAAGCTGCCCTCGCTTTTCAAGTCCAAGTTACAGAGCCTGACTCATTTTAAACTACAAGATGTACTCATGGTTTTATGGCTTAAAGCATAGCACAACAAGAAACTTATCATTCACAAGCAAGGACAAGTAGTTCTTTCTGAATAATATAAGAAAGGAGGGTACAGAATAGTCAAGAATTAAACAACATTTTTAAACGTTTTATCATCTTTTGCAAAAATATGCTCCTCATTGTTTAAGGGGTCTGAAAGTGACAAGAGGCACAAGGAAAGGCCCCCTTTGGGCCTTGGTTATCTAAACCCCTGTACAAAAACAACGTGCAGCTGCTCATAACACCCACTGTACTGCCAAACTTCTCCCAGGAGGAAGCTTTGCTCATACCTCATCTGTTGCTTGATTTTTTAATTACCACAGTCATTTGTGCAGCAGAGATGGGACTGTACCTTTTTCTCTTTGGCAATGCGTTCTGCTCGGAGGGACGCGACTTGAATTGGAGGGAGGGGCTTGTCATAGTTGATTCCACTATAAACAATAAGACAAAACACACAATATTTAGAAATAACTGAAACCTAAAAAAAATAAAATAAAATAAAATAAAATAAAATAAAATAAAATAAAATAAAATAAAATAAAATAAAATAAAATAAAATAGAGCACTTTCATACAATTTGTAACTCCAAGACAGGGAGTGCTCACCTTTCTGCAAGCACCGATGCATGCTTTGGATTCTTCTGGAAAGGATTCATGCCAAGTCTGAAATTGAGAAAAACTGTATTACTGGAGACAGAAAAACCTTAAAAACAATATTTCACTTCACATATTTTAAGCATTTGGTGAAGTTTCCATGATATTCCAGCCAGTACTGGAGCCTGCATACAGACAGACATTTAAGAAAGACTCAGAGTAAATACTAAATAAATAAAGAAAAACTGCAGGAAGATACATAGGAAAGAATGTACTACTAAACAGCATAGACAGCAAATTGTCTACAATTCAGACAAACGCACAGATATAAAGTATATTTAAAAAACCCCAACGGAATGCAGCTCTGCTCTTAATGACAAAGAGCAAATTCCTGCAGTGAGACCCAAACACATGAAATATGGAGGAGTTTCCAATAACAGAGAACACAGAGATCGAGAACAGAGAAACAGAGTGCAGAATAGCTCTGGGTTTTGAGATCCATTCAAAACACAGTTTCCAGGAGATCTGTGGTTACAGGAAATCAAATGATCCCAGGTAAACTTACAGAGGTTTGATTGGTGGACTTCTTTTCCCTGCAATCATTTTCATCATCTCAAAATGATTAGTATAAAGCTGTGTGTGGGTTGCACCCTCATCTTGAGCATAGATCTGATTGGTACGAAGTGGGCGACTGTTTTTAGTCTAAAAAAAGAAAACAAACCAACTTTCAATTGCAAACTCACCCAACAGGGCATTTTGTCTATGTTTAAACACAAGGCGCGCTCGTAGATTATTTAAAAACACTCTCCAACATATCTATCACAGACTGGTTCCTGCCTCGTGTCACTGATAACTTACTGTCACACAAAACTCTATGGGAAATATATAAAGAAAGAGCAAAATAAGGAGCAGTTCTCACGGTCACACTGGCATCAGCACTTGGGGACATACAAAATGGCAAACTCTAATTTGAGAAAGAATCTTTGCTTTAGTTTAGATTTTGCAAGTTTAATTCATTACCCAAACCAAGAGCCCATTAGTTTATAGTTATGCATAGCGCACACGTAAGGTAATAAAACAAAACCATCACTGCACTGCTCTCCCAACAAAGCTAGGTTAACATCCACACACCATGCCAGTCTAACATTTGGCTTCTCCTAAGCAGAAACTGCCAGTCAGGGACAAACCTCCTTAGCAGTCAGAGAATGGGACTACAGCCAGAAGTTCTGGATTCTCCACCCAACTCTGTCACTAAATTGCTGTGTGGTTTGGAAGAAGGTGTTCACAGTCATGGAATTTGTTTTTGTTTCTGTAGCGTCCTATCATCCTCATTTACTAAAACGTGTTTCAGGCATCAAATTCACTATGTATTTGTAATCCACTTAGACTCTAGCATGAAGTTCATTCTTACAGATCTTAAATACCATCAAGATAAGATACATGGTGGAAAAATGCCAACTACAGTTTAAGTGAAATCACAAACTTCTTGCATGGTCTAAAATTTATCTATCAAATCCAAAAGCTGAAGTCTGGTGTCAATCCACTGTATCAACAAAGAAAGGAAAAATAAATTTGGAATTTTAATTGATGTTTCAGAACTCAAGTAACACTCAACATGGATCTCATATGAATTATCTGCCCACCTCCATTGCTGCTAAATACCACAGTGTCTAGATTTGATTTTGAAAGAATACCAATGCACACCTTATAAATACTTTTTGTCTTCTTTTTAGGATTAGCTTCGTACATTAGCTGTAAAATAAGAAGGAAAGTTAGATGATCTTTTGTGGAAGATTTTGTTCAGGTGCTTTTTCTTTTCAAAGAAATCACATAAAATAAGTGGAAATCCTGATGAGAATAATTTAAAAAGATCTTTTAAAAGTTATTTATTTACACTGTTGAAACGTTTAACAAAAAACAAGTGTTTATGGAGTTAAGGGAAAAAAAACTCTACAACTGAAGGTAAAAAAAAGACGCATCATTCCAGGTGAGCTCACCTTTCCTTCCTCCCTTGGGATTATGACATTCTCGTATCGGTTGCGGCACTGCTTGGGCGAGCGATAGACTCTGCTGCAGGAGTTAACAACATCACTGACCAGGTCCCAGTTGGGAGTGTGTGCTGGTGACACAACAGCAAGGTTTAAAGGAAGCTCCAGCAGCTGCTTCACTGCCTGCAACACAGAAAGGTACAAATGCATCAGGAGACATCACTGCCATCTTCCAAACCTTCCCTCGCCTGCGAGTGCCCACACACCGTTACCACAGTGGGACAGCTCAGGGCTAAGGCTCTGTGCTCAGCTACAGTCACTGAGAATAAACAGGCATAAGGTGCCTTAATGCTGACTGATGTGCAGGGAAACAGTTGGAGATTGGTATGAGAGGGACAGAGAGCTGTTATTTAAATGCTGCTCTCCCCACAAATGTGGGAAGAACCTTAGCTGCATTATCCAGTGTCCAGCCAGCACAACTAATCTGAATAATAGTAAGTGGGCTTAATCATACATTTTGTACTTTAGCCTTTAATTTCTCCTTAGAGAAGCACAAATGACAGGCAAGCTGTTCCAAGTTATGACAGCAAATTGCCACTAAGAATTAGAAACAACCTTGAAGAGATAAAGTGCAGGAATAAAAACATAATGACAGCAGAAGCTGCAGGTATCATCTGACCTGCAGAAGTGCCCAGTCTTCGCTGATCAACCACTCTGGATTATCCTGCCCAGCCTCAGTAGCTGGTTTGACAAGAGTTGGCAAAGGCTTTGCAAACTGTGTCTGTTGTTTCAACAAGATGTTCTTCTTTTGCTCTTTGCCCTCCCGGCGCATTTTCAACATTCCTGGAGTTGCTCGATCGAAGAGTGAACGAGGTGGGATAACTGTCTCCCCGTGACGTTGCTTCTTCTTTCTACCTGCTGCTAAGACAAAACATAAAGCATTGTTGGCAGATACTGTCATTCTTTGGTTCCTCTGCCTACAGCTGCAAAATGCTCATACATGTACAGAGTATTCCCCACTGCCTCTGAAAAGCACAGCAGGAACTAAACAGAGCCTGTGATAAAGTATGACGAGTTCTGTTCTAGCCGACAAAGTAAAATGTCTGCTCTCTAAAACTGACCTTTCAAGAACATCTTATGTCTAAAGAGAAGACACACCATAAGAACTGGGCTTCCAGTCATTCCACTACTTCAAGGCCCTTCAAACATGCAAATTTCATCTTTACTGGATCAGACTCCAACACAGATGCTTGAATTTATTAAGCACTGCAACATGGGTGTTTCAATGCATTCTGAATATATAGGAGGCATGAAAACCCCACTGGTTTTTTACACTTTCAGCAATAAATCCCAGAACAGTTTTGAGCACACACTCACCAGAGGGATCTGTTTTGTGTCGTTTACGCTCCTTCCTGACATACACTGGAGGCAATTTTGACTCTGGAATAGGGGTGGTATCATACATCAGGCACATAACAGAATCTATGTAGATATCATTATCATCCTGAGGTGGAGTAGGAGGAGTCCAGAGCTGCACAGAATAAAATTTGTAATTACTGCAATGTTAACTCTCTACTGATCTTTATGTTTCATAAAATAAAAAAGCCCGTTTAGGCTGCCTGGTGTTACTTTTACTTACTGGCATAATTTCAGTTTGTCCATCTGGACCTTCATAGACATATTCCTACACAGCAAAAAGAGAACATAATTCAAATGATCCAACTGAAACCTGAAGGGTAAAGTATTCTCAGACTAACTGTTAAGAAATAACTATTTAGAAAAAACAAGACTAATCAGCAATTACTTTGTTGTATGCATCCTCCCGAGTGTAGGTTAGAAGTTCCTCTTCATCCTCCCAAAGCATTTTTTGCTCTCTTTCCTTTAACTCCTTCATATGCTGGACTTCCCAGGCTTTCTTTGCAGTTTTCAGTTCCATCTAGATTAAAGTCAGACTGCTTAGAAACTTTATACAGTAACAGACACTGAATTAGAAGTCATCAATTAGTAATTTTATGGATAAATGCCTTGAACTTTGACATTTTCAGACACAGGAATCTTATAGCAATTTCTTAACAGATACTTTCACAACCATTTAGAAGATATTTATTAGTCTTTCTGGAGGGTTTTAAGATCATCAGTATAGAGCAATCAAAGAACTTCAGTTAAACAATGAAGACAACCAGAACAGAGGCTCACTAAAATTAATGAAATTTTTTCCCCTGCTGTCAATGGAGTACAACAAATATTTGCTGAGCCGGGCTGAAAGCAATTCCCATTTTATAAAAAAGAAATTAAGAATTGACACCTGCTTAAACCACAGAATCCCAAAATAATGAGCTCTCTGTAAGACATTATGCTGTTCATAATGTATAGCAAGAAAAGATTACAGAAGTGCCAACAATATATTCCACATCATTGGAGAAACTTCCATTTCATATTGAAAATATAATAAATGTTGTTCTGTGACAGAATAACATGGCAAAGAAAGATTTGTTTTACCTCACTCAACCGTGGCTCATTGTCATCAACTGAACCGTGGAAGAGCTCCAGATAATTCAAAGCATACTTCTCAATTGGAGTCAGCTGAGGGAAGTGTCAAAGGGAAAAAATGTTACTTTGAGGATAATAAAAGAAACATTACATGAAGTATCAAAGCCCTCCTTCAAACTCTTCTTAACATTTTAAATCAGCGGGAGATCTCCCTTCCATTTAATGGGAGAAACAACAAAGTTGCTTTAAGGTCAGACTGCAAAGAAATTGAAACATTTGAACTAAACATTACTTTTCAGCCAGATATTCAAGGGAAGTCACGGTACCTGATCCACAACAGCAACTAACTCCTGCAGCTGCGAGGGCTCTTCATTGTATTTTGTCTCACAGAGCTCTGAGATTAAAGGTTCAATGCTTGACTCAGATCCTATTTCTTGTATGTGATCATTTGATTCCTCATCCTCTCGTTCAATGCTGTTGAGAGCCTTTCAGAGAGATATATTTTAAAAATAATTAAGACTTCAAAAATATGGAAAGGAACTCCATAAGGAGCTCACTGAAATGCAACACAAATTTCTGGTGTAAGTCTCTGCTGCAGCAAGAGAAACAGTCCCAGAAATTATAAAACTCAGCTTTGGGTTTTTGGAAGTTTTGTCACAAGGCAAATGACAAAAGAGCATAAAACTACAAGAAAAAGAGACTGACAGAATTTACCCAAATAATATGGGATTAGTCAGTTGCTTAATACTAATGCTGCACAGCTGTATTTTTAATGTGTATGTTAATCATTACCTCTATGAATGGTCTTGCAACTTTAGGTGAAATATTTTCTGCTGGAGACGGCTCTTGAGAAAGTACTACAAATTCTTCAGCTTTCACTCTAAATCCAGAATCCTCCATAGGAGAATGAACCTCAAACAATTCTTGAATTGTTTGCTTGGTAAATAGAAAAAAGAGAAATACATTCAGTTTTTGGGAGCACACTATTTCTTTTCCTATACCAGGAGTGCCAGCCAGGATAGCCTGGCTTCACCAGTGCAGTCACTGTCTCATGTATCTTCAGAGCAGCAATTCAGAGCCTATCTAAATATCCAAACTTATTTCACATTTTTAAAGCTGCTGAGACCTTCACCCTTAACAAGCTCTGCAAAATTTTGCAGCAGGGTGAAGAAACCACAATATATTAAGTCATGGGTAATGTCTGTGCATCACTATGCAAATAACAGAGCAAAACAGATGGACGATATTTGAAAGAATGTGGCCCCAACACTGAGAGTTCAAGCAATCATGAAATCCAATATGCTTCCTTATTAATTCTAGCCCAGACAGATTTCTACTAAACTGCTATTAAACACTCCAACACAGATGCTTGAATTTATTAAGCACTGCAACATGGGTGTTTCAATGCATTCTGAATATTAACTTACCTGTGTCAAAAAGGCCATTGAATAGTCATTTCCCTGAGCAGCTACTTCTCTGATCAAGTCCTTTGTGCCATTTTTCAAAAGTTTCTCTTCTACAGAATTACCACTGACAAGCCTAAAAAAAAAAGGAAAAAAACATAGAAATCTGGTAAGTCATTTCCAAAGCAGCTTTCAGAAAGAAAAAAACAAACTGTCCTTAGAGAGTACCACTAAATGTTTAAATTGTGGTAGTATGTGGGCGTTTTTTTAGTAATGGTGCAGGCCCAGAAAAAAACACACTACCACCTTTACTTTAGAGCTGTCTTCTAATAATCTATGCCATTAAAAAAAACAAACAAACCCTGAAATCAACAATGAAAAGGGACCCCTAAAATTTCCATGCAGACTAACAGACAATACCCACGCAGGTATGATTAATTTACTACATTTAGTGTTAAACCCTCCCCACTTTTTCACAGGATACCCTGGCATCTTTTTTATTGAAGGTAAGTGATTCTCGGCAATGTTTCCACTTTATTCCAGATCATTCAGGGCAGCATTGTCTGAACTAACCTCACATCAAAACATGTTAAAGAGCAGATGCTGACTGTCACCATCACCTGTATATATGGATATCTTTACATCTCCCAATTCTGTCACACCATTCCTGAGCTTTTGCATCCATCACTGGGTTCAGATCATTGTCATAGAACACAACAGTGTCTGCCTCGACAAGATTGACTCCTGTGGAACGGCTGTGAGAGGAGAGGATGGCACAGAAAATGCGCTTGTCTCTGTTGAAAATTTTCATCAGCTCCTACATAAACAGAATAAAAGCAAGGACTAAATAAAATGCACACCAAAACAAAATACCAAACCAAATTCACTATAGCCTAATAAAAAAAGGGAAAAAAAACATGTCAGGTGTTTCAAACTGAATACAAAACGAGGCAAATTTTCTTTCTCTGCTGTAGTATATAAAAGCCTGGGCAGCACATATTGCTGTACCAGTGGGTAGCTGGTAGGGCACACTTACCTGCCGTTGTTCCTGGTTGGCATATTCATCAATCCTCACAAAGGTGAGGAAATGGAAATTCAGGAACAACTCCAGTATGTCCAGCATTAGAATCATCTGTGACAAAATCAGCACACGGCGCCCTTCAGATTTCAACTTCTGAAGCAAGACAGCAAGAGCTTCTAATTTTCCTATAATTCAAACAGAAAAACCAATAATGGTTTTATATAGAAATTCCATCCATGTGACAGAGGAAATTACTGAAATCTTGTCAGCAAATGTCCTTTACCTGAGTCATACTGCACCAGCCGGAGGTCAGGGAACTGCAGCAAGTGAGGAGTTGTCAGCCGTTGCAACTGATGCAAGTGTGGAGCTGCCTTCTGCCTCAGGCTGTGCTTAAGGAGTTTCAGTCTGTGACTGTATGAAGGGGGAGGATTTGCTACATAGAAACATGGGGGAGCAGCAACTGCTGCTGGCAACACGAAGAGAGCCCTGTGAAAAGCATTAAAACAAGGCAACACCAATTTAAAAAGCTACACACAAAATGATGATCAATAATCATAGGCACAGCAAGGAAAGTCAGTCTTAGTTAAACCAGTTTCTGCCTGCACCTCTTAACTCTAACTCTGGGTCTTAACTCTTCTTAGTTAGTGGTATTTCTGGGTGATTAACTAGGTTAGTTAGTCCAAGTGGTAGCTATTCAAGTAAATCCAAAAGCATAAGAATGTAAGGCTAAGTATGGTCAGATGAACTTGGGCTTGAAATTAGGAAAGAGGCACTGAAAACATTTATTTATAAAGATCCAAAGGAAAAAGGAAGTGACTTATTTTTACTTCCATGCTGTACATCATTTACTGCTAAATAAACCAGTCTAAACCAAATAAGCTCATCAACAGAAACAAGGTTTTAAGCCTTTTTGAGAAGTGTTTTAGAAACAACTAGATGTGTAAAGGCATGTTAGGGCAGAGTCACACATTACCTGTTAACAAGATCCTTTAGAGACTCCTGTTGCCGAACCAAGCCCAGGATCATTTCCCTCAAGGGGTTACTTGGGCCTCCGCAGGCACTTGTGGAAAGGCAGCAGTTGACAAAGCCAGCCCACCTCCAGCTGTTGCCCTCACTGGAAGGCAGCTGGGAGGCCTTTGTGTCCCCAGCCAGGGAGCAAAGGCTCAGCACGTCCCGGCCGTACACCGGCGCCCGCGAGCAGCGGCGCTCGTTGCCGCAGAAGATCCTGTCCAGGCGCTCCTTCAAGAGCCGGTTCTTCTCCTCAAACGTCTCCTTTGCCAAGAGAAGGTGAATGAAAACCACATTTGCTGCTCATCACAGTAATAATAAACGAGGGATTTGAGGTTCTTTAGAATGAAACTATCAGGATTAGAGTATAGATCCTAGAGTGGAACTAGACTTAGAGCAATTATTAAAGGTATACATTTCAGATAAAATCTGAAGACTACAGCTGAATTCAGTTCATATAAAGAGTCAATTCTACTTTATTTTACTATCTTCTTACTTTCTAAAGGTACATTTTAATAGCTTTTTGATATATTCTTGGATGTTTCCCTACACTTTGTAAATTGCTTGAGTATCTTATCCAAAAACTTAAGATTAGAAATCTATAAAAAATTGCCCAATTGCTATTGTGTTCAAAACACAAAAAACCCACATGATTTCTTTATTTATGCATTACTATATAATTAAAATATATTACAGTTAAAAGAACCTGTCTATCACAGCACAAGAAAGCTGTCAGCTGCCTTTATACACCAGATTATTTTATCTATGGATTACAAATGCATCAGATCTGTCAACCTGAAACATGGACAGAAGTTGGGATATTTACCTACTCTACAATCATCAAAGTCCCTAATTAATTCCAGCTTTGCAAATTATAGCTTTCAACTATTACACAGACTTACTACTGATTCTGAAAAGTGGTATTTCCACAAGAAAATAAAAATTGAGTACCTGTGACTGTCCATGCAAAGGTGCTGGTTTTAACACTGCTCCCATGTCACCAGATGGCAAGTTAGTAACTGTAGCTCTGCCTGGAATACAAACTGAGGATAAACCTTGTGTTTATATACTTATTCATCTGAAACCTGGTCTCTTTATAATTTTCAGTAAGTAGACATTTCATAGCTGTAACACATCATTGCTGCAGACAAATTTTTAGTCTAAATGTCCATAGAGTATTGCAAATTTGTAATTTGTTATACATCAAATCACTGACAGATATTCACATTAACTGTTCTCACAAAATTCCAAAATAGATCAATGGAATTTTACTTTGCTTTGTACAAAGCAGTGTGCTGTGCTCCATTTGTACTTTATTCAAAATGTCATGTATAGTGCAATACACATTGACATTCAGAAAATGTTAATATGAACACAATAGAAAACAGAAAATGTTCTAATACAGGAAAATATTGTTTTAACTTAGCTTGAGCAAATCATCTAAGATTTTTCAGAAAACACATCAATTGAGTGTGTCTACAAATTGGTGAAATCATATGATGGAATCTCAGTACCATTTTTGTGATTTCAACTATTAGCAGATGTTTACCCAGACAGTTAACTACCATGCAAGAGCATCACACCATTTTGAAGGAATGTTTTTTTATATCCCAAGAAAATTACAGCAGATGGCCATTTTCAGGGAATGAACTCCTAGTGTTATATTTATCTTCATTTAATAAACTGCTGTTTTGTTGTAAATGCATTAATTTCTCCATTATTTTTTATCAACATCTTGCTTGTGTTTTTAAGCAAATGATCACATTTACAGCAAGGCACCAAATACCTAAGCAACATTTGCAGAGGGAAATGGAAAACTATAGCTTGATCAGCTAGAAAAGTGAAAGAAATTAGATAAAAGCAAAATCAATATGGAAAAATTGAGACAATCACTGGACATTCTCTGCCAGTATAAAAAATTATCACCCTTGATTTTTCCTTGCAAAAATTAACAAAGTATTTCAAATTTACTTTCCCAAAAAAAAATTTGAACAAAGGCAAAATGGGTTAAAAAAATCTATAATTAAGTTACATGCTCTCCTAAGTTTGTACTAAAAATTTTCTTAAAACTCCAGCACACACCAAATACAAACTGCAAAGATTTGCTTCAAAGTTTACCCACTTCTGAGCTCAACTTACAGAATTATGATCTGCAACAATTTGGAGTTATATAAAAATGTGATTTTAGCAATTGAATATTTAGACAGAGACATTTCTTCAGGCTGGAAAACCCACCTTGCTGTGTGACTGCAGTGGAAGCTGGGCCACCTGCCTGGTGCTGGTTTCCTAAAGCGTTCAGGGCGTTCTGCACAGTTCCTGCTTGGGAAACTGTCTGCATGACCACGGGGCCCTGAGGCCTCAGGTACTGCTGCCCAGGGGCTGACACAATCTGAAGGACACTTCCTGCAGTGGAGGATTTTAACACACATTAGGGTGGAAAAGAATTCATGTTCTCTAGCAAAATCTATTAGTGTTACAAGCTGATCATTACTGCTTCAAATTATGTTTCATTTTACCAGACACGTTCATTACACCAATCTGGTGAATGAAAAAAGGAGGGAAACAACCACGTATTCATAGCTGAAGAGGAGTTTCATGTCATGGGATATCATTCTAATCTAGGTATTTATACAGAATTTGGACAAAATCCAATCAAATAAAAAATCTTCACTCAACATTCGCTCTATTTATTTTGTTGGCCACAGAGAATCAAGACATGCCAGTTCTCCTAAATCTGGCAACACATACCACCAGCAAGGCAGATTTCAGAACAAAATCTAGTGTAGGTAGAGCATTCAGACAAGGGCAATAATTGGGCCAAAATTCAGAAGCATGCCAAACTTGAAGTATTATTTACACAATTTCAGAATAAACCAAGAATGTTCTAATTTTTTCTGTTTCTGCTCAGCAGAGAGTTTATATCAAATAATGCCTCACCTTACTTTAGCTGCACTGCATGGGTATGGAAACAAAGGAAATAACAACATTTTTCAAATACAATACAGAAAAAGAAACTAACCATGTCTTTCATGTGATAGGCATTTGTTTTTCAAACCAGAGCTACCATGGCTCACAGAAAATAGGAAGAGCAGGACAATACAAGTACTGGGGATGGAAAAATCTCCAGCAACAAGGAACGAGGTACTCATATCAAAACATGAGCATTCTGAATAATGGAAAATTGCCTTTTTTGAAATAAGTACCTTGTAGCTGCAGGGGCTGCCCTGCAGTGAGCTGCCGGAGTTGACTGTGTGACAAGGTGAACTTGTTCCCTTGGAACTGCAGAGTCACTGGGGTCTCTGGCTGAGCAATCCTGCCTTGTGCTCCTGCTATAGAAGCCAGCTGGGCTATTTTTACTACCTCACCACCTGTTAAGGAGGGAAACAGGCATTAAAAAATCAAAGTGGGAGGCGAGATTTTCGATATTCACAATTCTACATTTTGGTTAGTAAACTGGTGCTGAAGCGCCTTCCATGCATAATTATACTTAGTGCATCAAAAGTGTCATATAAAAGTTAAGCAGGTATTGCTTTCTATATTTGTTGGACAAACTGGAAAGAAGCTGATTGTTTAAAGGGTAAGAACATCAACATTTTAGAAATTACCACTTTCATTAGCAAAAAAGTTAAGAGCTACCTGAAAACTCATGTGACACTTTGTAACAGAACAAGTGGAGACAATAAAGTGATTTTCACTGCCTTTTCAAGAGCATGAAGGAAGGTTTAAGGAAGAAATTAAAATATTCCCATGTATGGCACATAAAATACACATCCGAAATTTGCTGATGAAACATGATTTCTTTTAAGCAATCTGCATTTAGACAAACCAAAAAGCTTTGAAGTGGAAAGGACCAAGCTTTTTGTGATTTAAATGCAGGAAGGTTACAGGCATTTCAGCATTAAGTTTTAGGATATTGAGAAAATACTGGTGTGAAAATTCAGCTTTTGTAAAGGCAGTGCATTACCCCAGAGATAAAATTAATACATCAGTGCTCAGTACTCTCTACACATGCTAATAGGCAGTGCACATACAACCTTAAAGCAAAGCCTCATCACTTTTCTCTGCCTAACAGTGGCGACGCTCCTCTCCGCCAGAGAGGCCTTTAGCAGATGGATTAGTGTTTAACATGAAAGGAATAATTAGGAGAGAGCTAAAACATTTGGTCGGAAGGAAGTCTTGCCAGCAGAAGAAACATGCAGAAATAGGAGATTAAGTTGACACCGCTAATGTATGTCCACAGCAATTCTATTGTTTCTTATCCAATTTTCGATTTTCCTTGGTCATAAGCAACGTACTGAGCAAGGCTAATCAGAAGAGTGAAAAAAAAACAACGATTCTGTACACATCTTAGGGTGCCTAGTAACTTAACCTCATTGTAGTACAAAGGTGGGAGAAACCTTGAAAGGGGAGGCCACTTACTAGGCAACCGTGCCTGGGCCTGAGAGGTCAGTACGAGCCTCTGAGGCAGCACACTCTGTTGGATGGTGTGCGGGGGGGGCTGTGGCTGTGGCTGGGGCTGGCCCGGCTGCGGGGCCGGCGCAGAGGTCTGGCCCCGCGGTTTCACAGGGTTGGCTGCGCTAGTTGCTGTGGTGAAGGTCGCTGCGGGCTGGTGTCTTGGAGCACTGGTGGAAGCCTGAGTTGTCTGAAACTGTGCTGCTGCAGCTGCAATCAATAAGGGTTGTTTGTGCAAGCTGTTAGAGGTTTTAACTCCGCTCTTTTAAACAACCTGCATTAAAAAGAAACCTTCCAACAGGATAATCAAACGGCTACAAGAACGGCTTTGTCCTTACACACTGGGATTTCTAGCCACACCTCTTACTCCATCCTATTTTTACAACATTATCTATTTGGAAAGCATTGTTTAAAGGCTAAATAAATACAGAGAAGCACTGTACATTCCCATCTTTGACAGAAGTTTAAATATCAACTGTGGCATATTTACTCCATATGCTAACAGGTTACACAAAGCTTAGTTTCGCATTATACTGGCAGATCATACTGGAGAAACTAGCGGGAAATTTAACTGGCAATTAGTCTGTTGGTATTTTTAAGCCATTAGTATTCTAGACCAATAAGCTAGAGGGAAAAGGAGTTCTATTAAACAGACTAACTTGTATCTGTCTATGCCGAGGTGCAGGTGACCAGGGTGGCACTGACTCCCTTACCTTGATTTGAGGACACCGTGGCTATGGGGGATCTGCCTCGAACTTGTCCCTGCTGAGTCACCGTTGCCGTGGTCACCGTGCGCTGGACTTGAGTGCTTGGGAAGACCACAGTCCTGCCCTCGGGCTTCTGACCATACTGAACGGGCTGGAACAACCTGGCAAGAGCAGAAACAGTCGAAGTCTAGAGGAAGATCATAGTTTGGCCTTTAGAAGTAAACTCTGTAACCCCAGGAACATATAAACTGATCATGTCAGATACTAATCTTCCTGCAGATGGCTGAAGCTAGCAAGACTCGTCACTTCACAGGCTTCCTAAGTGAACATTGTAGCAAGTGATTTTGCTGAATCCAAGAAAAGAAACTTTCATTTCCATACACCCAGTTTAATGTAGGATGCTTCAGAATTACACCAAACATCTTAAAGAGGCTAGGTCAATATCTGGGAAAAGATATATCTGAAGATATCTGAAAAAAAAGGCTCCTATATAATCTCCAGAGAGACATCAACATGTTGCAGGTCATCAGGCAGCTCCCTTGCATTAGAAAAACAGTTCCACGTTACCTTGAGAACACTACTTCACTAGAAGAAAAAAAATACTTTAAAAAATGTACTGCTATAAAACTTCATATATCTCTGTCATAACAGTGAGAGCACAGCTGACACTGCAGGCCCTACTTAGTCTTGCATTATACTCATGCTAATTCTTCAAAACAACACTCAATTTGCCATAAACAAGGTCCAAGAACAAAGTTCATCTGCTGCTGAAGTAAGGACTATGGGAAATCCATCAACAAACTTCAAATGGAATTGCATGCCTCAAAGAACAGAATTCTTATTTTCAGAGGCAAACAGGAAAGCAAGATAAAAATTAAATGCAAAGGTAAGACTGAGGTTTTGTGTGAATCCCATTAGCAGAGATGCAGAGAGAACTCAGTGAGGATTGCAGCAGAACCACCTTTTGCTGCTGTAATTCTGGCTCAGAAGGAGTGTAGGTCTACACACCTGCTTGGTTTGAGCTTCACTGGGTTGGGCCTCGCCGGTGGTGGAGGGGAGCTGTAGATTTCTTCAATCAACTTTCTAGTAACCTTTTGTTTTGGCAACATTTGTGCTTCATAATGAGTCATTTTGTCTTCCATTCCAATGAGATCAAAAAGAGACAGGTCTGATTCCTAGGGATTTCAGAAAATTGTTTGTTTTATGTGATGTCCCAAATGGTTAAGCTCTCTTTACGTTCAAAGCTGAATTAAATTTCCATATATTTACTTTTTAACTTGAAATAAATGGTGCAAGTTTAAGAAATAAACTATTAATTATTAGACAAAACTGTCTAGAAACCTTGAAAATAAATCTTAAACTGACAGTCCTATTTTAAGCATTAGAAGAAAAAGAACTGAAATCATTAGCCAGTTATGGAAATTAAAGCAAAACACATTTAACAATTCTTCATATACCATACTTTCCAAAGAATTAAATAGAACTCTTTGAAGGTTAACTATCAAGCTTAAATGCCAAACTATAACTTAGGAGTAGAAAAATATGAAGGATGGAAATAAAATTAAATAAAAAATGTCAGCTGCTCCATTACTCATACTTCTTTTATATTTTTTATCATGTCAAGGAGTGGGATCACTTGTTTAACAATAACAGAAATAGTGGTACTTCAAATGGATTGACAGAAGGGTACTAATTTAGTCATTGTAACAGAATGTTTACTGTTATGTGGAAAAGAATAAGTCTTGCTTTCCTTCAGCTAGTAAAAGCAAAAGGAAAACTGCAGAATGCCATAAATAAGCACAGCGCTACCCAGAGTGACTTCAGTGTTGGAAAATTCCTGCAAACATGAGCATGATAAAAGCAAAGGTAATTTCTCTTTGTTCATGAAAAATTACTGTTTACAAACCACTTGAAAAGTTCAAACCACTATGACAAAAAAAAAAAGAGATGCAGCAAGAACACACTTGGTAGCCACTGTTATGGAAGAGTGAATTCCTTCTATTTATAAACTTCAGGCAGACCTATCACATATAACAAAACAACAATAAGTACTGAAATTCTGCCAGTGCACTGAGAGAGGAAAAAAACATTAACTTTCCTACTGACCTTCCAAATATCCCTTTCCAGGGCTCGCAGCACCAGAGAGGCTGTTCTGTATTCCAGTGTTTCAGACACATAAGAGGAGCTTGAAAGCCGGGGGTTTATCAGATCAGGGTGGTTACAGATCCGCTGCAGCTGCATCAGGACATGCAGGACACTGATGAAGTGTCCACTTTTGAGGGCTTCCTGGGTTCTACCAAATAAATTATAGAGAGAGACATTGATTTATGTGCATCTTCCATGGAGGTGTCCCTAAATCAGCAAGGTGAGAATGAGCAATGCAGTATGTTATGCAAAAGTCTTAGAACAAGTTTAGGTTTCACCAAGGTCTTCTGCAGTATTCTAAGCAGCACTGTACCAAAAGTAAATTTGGAAAAGAGAAAACTTAAAGACCCAGTGCTGCCTTACAATCAAATACAATCTATCCAGTTCCCCATCCTCTCCCTGCTTTGTTTCTGTCTCATCCCTGCACCTATCAATTACCACTGGCAGGAGGGTGGTGAGGAAAAACTCTGGGCTTTAAAAAAATGAAGAACCACTCATTAGAGACAAACGTTAAAACAACACAGCAGAAGACCTGACCATCATAACTGCATTCTTAGGTTCCAGAGGTAAATGCACATTTATCACATCAGCATAAAATAGCATAAAATTACATCACCTGCTGTAACTCTAGTCTATAATGCAATCACATTTTATTCACGGGTCATAATGCAAAATTTCAGAGAAGCACTAAAACATTTCTCCCCAAGACAATAATTTCTTTCCTTGCTTAAGCACTAAAAGTGACAGCATTTTATATTTACTGTTCCAAGCCCTTACCCTGGCTGCAATATGACATCCTCATACATGGCTTTTTGTCGACTAGACAGACGACACTTGAGCACGTGCTCATACTTCTTCGTGAGCTGCTTCTCAACATCCCTCTTTGATCTCCGCAAAATAAACGGCTGAATCATCTGAAACGTTGCAGAATTGAGAGGAAAAAAAGTCTCACTTCAAAGACTTTACAACAGGAAGCTAAACTTATTCACACCTAACAGATTTGATGTGATAAACTGCATATGCTATATATAATCATTCTGCTATGCACACAGTTGTGTAGAAATTAATTTGCTCTTTAATTTCTGCATGTCATGCTTCAAAATCTGAGCCTTGTATTATTTTTTAAAGAAATCTCCACATTCTTCTGGTAGCAGAACCCTCTGCTTTCAGCAAGATTTTCTGTCTAAACTGAACAAAGTGTTAAGAAAAGACACAAATTCTGATCTGAACCATATTATTTTTATTCCCCCTCTCCTTAACAGCATTACTCTTGTAGTAGGACACATGAGAAAAAATTCCAACATACTCTGTGCAACCTGATGACCAGTTTATGGCAATAATCCTGGTTCTCCTCATTAGGTGCTTTTACTGGAAAATCCAGGTAAGGTCTGGAAATTCCCGGAATCAAAAAATGTACCATGGTCCACAGCTCCATCAATGTGTTATGCAAAGGAGTGTCTATCAGAAGCAAACGATGCTGGCTGTGAACAAAAGAAGGTTTTTAATCGACTGATTACTATGCCTTTATGTTTGTCAGAAGAATTGTGTAGAGAAAATAAAATTAAACCGAGGACAAATATATTTTCAATCTTGAATATACCACCGAATAGCTTCTTCATTGCAGAGTATCAGAACATACAAGGGAATCTGTCTAGGAGCACAGAATATCAGCAAAGAAGAATTACAGTGATATGATAGTGGGAACAAAAAGATCTCAAGCATTTCTCTGAATCCCGATTTTTTCAAATAAAAGCACTTTTCTACAGGTGCACATTGCTCAGGAATTTGAGCAGGCCAAGTCAAGAGGGTTTTTTTAATCAAGTTTTCTGTTAAGAAGAGAACTGTGTGACATAAAAAGAGAAAAACTCACTGCCAGCAGGAAATCAATTCTCTGCTCTGTACCTGCGGAGATTGAAAAGTGCCTCCCAGTGTTTCTCAGTCATATTCTTTATTTGCTGCATCTCATCTACTATTAAGTATTTCCATCGCATTTTCATGAATGCTGTGTGGCCCTTGAACAGCTGCTTGTAGGAAGTGATGCACACATTGAAGCTGTTGGGTTCTGTCCATTCCTATGGAAAAGGAAAGAAAGGATGAGACAGAAAAGGCAGAACACTCAAATATCTTACAATCAGCTACTTCTTCATTTGAAAAGATAAGTAAGACAGATATATACAGGCTAAATGTATAGGCAACAGTGTAAGAATTGCAAAATACAGCACCTGTCTTTTTGCCCTAAGTTCTCTTTGGCTCCCAAAGTAGAGAAGTATTTTCAACCCTGGGCACCAGCGTTTCAATTCCAGCTCCCACTTCAATATGTTACAGCTCCGGACTACAACAAGGTGAGGGCCCCAGTTCCCTACAGAAGGGGAAACACAGCAGTAAACACTGGAAAGAGACTCCTTACAATGCATGTGGCTTATATTCTCCCTTGGTTTTTTAAGTGCATTGCATTAAATTAATCATTAAAAGTGAGATCAAATAACAATAAACAGAGGCATTTTAATTACTAATCTACTCCTGGTCATTAAACAATTTGTAAGGTTTTCTGTACTGGTAAGAACTTAGAAGTACTCAGAAGACTCTCTAGAGGGTAGTAGGTTGATCAGACACTTACTTGACTAGATAACACCCTTATGTCACAAAATACCAGGAAGTTACTCTGACACAATCTCACTCCTATTATTAACTAAAGTCTGATACAGTTCAGTAGGGGAAAAGAAGTGACCCTAGGCTACAATTCACAAAAATAATGCTGGCACAGTACCTGTCTAAAACTGTTAGCCAAATGAACTTACCTTCATTACAAGCCAAATGGGCAAAAAAGGCAATAATTTGCACAGTTTTTCCAAGCCCTGCCTCATCTGCCAGGATGCCATTGAGATTCTTCCTGTACAGCTTTGCCAGCCAATCCAGCCCAATCTTCTGATATTCTCTGAGAGACCCATACAATAGTGATGGAGTGTTGTATTTTACCTGTAATGTGAATAATTTGATATTCCTTCCTGAGTTAAATTCACTGAGCATGGCATAAAGCATAAACATTCTACAGATAACTCAAAAAAAAAATCAATTACTTGCTAAAAGCTACAAAATAATGAAGAAAAAATCGGTTTTTATGTAAACATCAGCACACAGAGTAGCAGAAAATAGGGATTCTTACTGCTGTTGTTATCCTGGAGCTGCCTTTAGGTAACAACATCTCTGCTGCAGCAGCAACTTCTGCTATGTCTCGCATGTGCTTCTTGGGAGGACTTGATCTGTCCATGCCCTTGTACTGGTCAATGCTGAGAAGGGAGTCTATGAGGACAACTTCTTTCTGGGGACTTTCCCTATCAGACATGTGGTCTTCCATTTCTAGGAGAGAGAGAAAAATTACAGTGGTATCTAAAATAAACTTCAGTAGCAGTTACACAAAGGAACTGAGATCACAAGGATTCCAACATGGGTCTAAAGGAGGCAGCTAACTTTTAAAAGCATTTCTATGATTTTCAAGCTAGTTCAGGTAAAATGCAAACAGCCTAAGCTCAGGCTATTTGTCTAGCTAGGCTAACATGGTATAATTATAGCTACTTATGAAGTGTGCTGTTTAATTCAGTGTAGAGAGGCTTTTCTATGGCTCAGTACTGTTCTTGAAAATCTCACACATCTTCCCTTCTGGACAGGCAAACACTGCCCTCTTTACACAAACTGAGAAATTTTAAATGTGATTCACTCAAGATGTGTTTTCCCTTAGAACAAAATGTCTTTTCACAGAGTCCTGAAGAGCCAAGCAACTTATTTCACCTTGTAAATCAGCACAACTACTTCTAAACACAGAGTAATTTACCTTCCTCACTGCTCTCCTCTTCACTGTCAGGCTTTGGCTGGGGCCAGTGAAAATTTTCTGCAAAGGCACCTTCGTACATCTTCACCAATTCTTCCAGAGGCAATTCAGCTGAAGATCATTAAAGGATGGATGTTTAAAAATACCAAATAAAAATACCAAACTTGGAACTACAGATACTATTAATTATAATCTCACTACATTCTTCACAATTGTATAAAGCCAGTTCTCTAATCAGAAGTTAACTTCAGAGGTAATTATTAAGTGAATGATGGCATTCTTTATTTAATAACCTTGATTACAGAGAACATTTGGCACTACACCAAGCAGTCTGCTCTCATACCCTGGTTTTTACTGCATTACAAAGACACCCAATAGCCCTCAGTAAACCCCCATTTGGGAAGGTAGGGGCAGCAAATCCAGATGAATGGTTGGAAGACAATTCAAGACTTCAAAAGTTTCAAAACTGAGCTGTAACTCCAGGATCCCTTGTCTGAGCTGTTAAAGCAGGAATGTACATGCTGGCAGCAGCCAATCAATCAGCAAACATTCTCATTAGGAACCTGGCTGACTGGCCAAGGCTTATAATCCCTCCAACTGGCCAGTTCAGTGCAGCCACCAAGCTGCCAAACAGACCAAACAAACAGATCTGGAAACGGCGTGTTCATCGCCAGGCACGCTCAGCCTAATGGGCAGCCTGCCTCCAAAAATCCGCTGTTACCAGGCTAAGTGGCACATCTCTGTGGGCTACTTTGCACACATCAAACTCAGCATAGCAATTACACTGCTAATGAGAGAGAGCTGCTAGCCAGAGCACTGTCCCTAAAAGCACCTTATCTTCAAATATTTATACCCACCCCCCTCCAAGATCAGCACTTAAGTGCCCTTTTGGACCTACCAAGTCAGTGACAAAACCCTTCTGGGATATTCAAGACAGCTGATAAAATGTCCATGTTCAATCTGGTACAAACCTGATGTTAAGTGTTTATCATGCACTCCTAGAACTTGGGTTGAGTCTTGGTGTAAGGTTTTAATGCAGTGCATCACTAGAGAACTACTTTTTCTCAAGCCACCTTGTGTGGTAACTAAGACTGCTTTATAAAGTGCAAATGTCCATCATCACCCCATAAATTGCTGCAGCTTTCCAAACAGAAAAAACTAAACACAGACTACACAGGACTGAGCATCTGAATGCAGTCTCCCACCTCTAATCCTCTTTACAAATATAACAAGTGTGTGTTTCCAGCTGTTGTTTCAGAGCCCAGCCCAGAGAAGGACCAAGCCACGTGCCTACCTTCTTTGGCTAGATTAGACAATTCAGTTTGATGGTTTATGTTTCCCTCTTTAGCTTCTTGTTCTTCAATTGTTTCTTCTTCATCTTCAACTACAAGAAAACAAATGCACATCTTGGGTTAAAATTATAAAATAATTCAGGAGACTTGTAATTCTACACCCCTGAAGTGAACAAGCAGAAAATATTCTAAGTCTGTAGAATATTCTAAGTTTGCAGGATTTAAAAATAATTAAATATATATGGAAAACAAGATAATCTGAAAGCAACTATATGCAGTATTTAAAAGATAAATGAACAGGAGAGAAGCACTCCTGCCTCAGGACAGAAGGCAGTTAAGTGTTGATTGACAATATTCACCACAGGTTGTTCTGAAGCTTTGAACAGGAGAGTTCCTTTGTCAGGAACATGACAGAGTAGTCACCAACAAGAAAGAACCCAAAGCAGATGGGTATCTCAGTCTAAAATCCTCAAAAGAACTTCAAGACCATTAGTAAGGCCTGACAAATGAACTAAGGAGGACAGAAAGAATTAAAATCCACCAACAATGATAGCAGTACCATTTCAAGGAAAATGTTATTTTCAAATTTTCACTAGAGCACTTTTAGGGATAATTTACTATTTCATTGACTATCTAATCTTTCTAAGAAATAGATGAAGGTTGGTATTTGGTTCATGAAGAGCACTGCACCCACACAGTAACAGACTGAAAACCTGTGGGTTTAATATTCAAATTCTGTGCTATGTTATGGATGCAAAATTTTGGGAAGTGACTTACCTTCCTCATCAGTCAAAGATGTGCTTGCCTTTCTTTTTCTTCCAGATGATGAACCCCCCTAGCATTAAATAATTGTAATATTTAAAATCAGAGAAAACAAAAGATAAGCAGGGGGCTTTGTTTGTTTTTTAAAGACAACAAAACATGCCTTGCAGTCCCAAAAGCATTTGCTGATAGACACTTAATATCTATTAGCACTTCCCTGGTCATGCAAAAACAGAAACTCTAATTCTGAACTGATGGGAGCGCGCAGTCTGCCCTTCCACTGCTCATGGGTCAAATTATTCAGGTCCAGCTGTGGTATAGAACTTTTATCCAGGCTGGCTCAAGGACTAAATTTTTTCACCAGTCAATAAAAAAGGGATATGGCACAGGCCTGTAATTGTCTCAGCTGTCCAGTGCACTCTGTAGAATTGTTTAGCCTGTGCCAATTAACTCTCACAGCCACTGCTGGGCCACAGTTTGGCTGATAACACATGCTAAGGCTTGTTCCTAGCAGGAAATTCAGATGCAGGCAGATTTCAGCACATGGGCATCAGCTGTGCCACAACAGATGGCTCAGGGCCTCAGATCCCTTGTCCATTTTTTTCCAATTGCACAGACACAGCCAAGGAGTCCTTAGTACTATCTCCAGATGTGTTTAAAAAAAGGCTGGACATGGCACTTGGTGCTATAGTCTAGATTCTGAGTTGAGTTTTAGGACATAGGTTGGACTCTATGACCTTAGAGGTCTCTTCCAACCTCATTATTCTGTGATTCTGTGATTCATCCAGGGAAAAAGGTATCCAAGTTTCATTCAGTTTGATCCATTCTGTAACATACACCTGCAACTCTCAGCAGATAAATCTCTGCTGAACACCTGAAAACACATTTCATGCCTCACAAAGTCTACCCCTGGCTACTGTAGATGAAACTCCTGCCCAAGTCTGGCAATTAATTTGTACAGTTTTTTGGTCTTCAATCTCAGAATGAATGATTCACAGCCACAAAAGACATGTACCAACCACAATCTACTTCCCTTCCTAACCAGAAAAATTATACTTGTGCTTGTGACTGAATGTTTATTTGTCAGTGAAATCTTATCATCACCATATATTTTTTTTAAAAATCACCTTTATCAAAATTTTTAACATATGTAGTCACATTTAAACTAATTTGATGGCTTTTTCAAAAAACAAAGACTCACCATTTCACTTTCTTTTTCCAAATAAAAGTCTTCTTTTGCATCCTTACCTGGAAAATTATTATACTTGATGTATGTATTCATCACTTAGCAATTTTACATTTCTTGCATGAACTTTTAAATGTATTCAAAGGAAAACACAAGAAGTATTAACAAAATCTAACACAAAAACATAAAAACCCTTAACTCATTATTCAGATCTATTCACAACCTATTATTAGCAACTCACAATTTTATCAACAAGATTAACCTGCACTGAGTGATATTATATAAAACAATATCATCAGAATTCAGACTATATTTCTTATTAAATGGAATACAATTACCTTTCCTTGAAAATCTCTTTAGATTCAAAGCTTTTTTCCTTTTCTCTTGAAATTCAATTTGCAGTTTAATTTCAACAACCTGAAATGTAAAGCAAGTCTAATATATCACTTTTATTTCACAAATAAACTCCTTTAGATGAAAAAGCCACCACAAACTGCATGAAAATTAGTGAGTGGGTACTTTACCTGCTCAATGTTAGACCAGAAATACTCTATTTCTCTAGCAATGGATGCTGCAATCCTCCTCAGTTTGTTCTGTTCTTCCCTTTTAGCTCGCTCTTCATTAAGTTTCTTTTCTTCATGGTAACGAGCCACAGTTCTTACCATCTAAAATACCATGAAATACTGAATTAGGTTACCTCAAAATACATATCATTGCATTTCTTAAGATTATAGTGGTTATCAGCAGCCAGATGTTGACCATAGCTTTACACACATAGCACTTACCTCCAATATTTCTAATTCTTACCATGCCAGTAAAGCAATAGCCATGAAACTCAAAGAAAAAAAAAATATACAACTATAACTAAGGTCAAGTAGGAAACTCTTAATTCACTCTCTGAATACAAAAATTAGAAAAAATTCCACTGAAATTAGCAGCAAACACACAAAAGAAAACTTTTTTTCAGACAGCACATACGAAGTCACAGAAATCACACCACAAAATGTCAGAGACCAAAGCTAAAATGAGTTCAAAAAGAGTGTACATACATGAGTGAAAGATCAGTCAATGGCTGTTAAGACTGACTTGATTGCAACCTTTAGCTCAGGAGGTCCCTAAAACATTGACTTCCAGAAGTTTGAAGCAAAGTGCCAGGGGAAGGATCATTTCACATTTGCCCTTCCTGTTTCTCCTATTCTTAAAAACCTACCATTGGCCACAAATGGAAATCCAGATTTAAATTATATTCAAAATGCAGATATTTACTGTACAAAACAATACACTAATTTCAATATTTTACTTCTGAGCTTCCATCATTTCAGAATATACAGTAGAAAACAACATGGCAATTTAAACTAATGACCTTCAGTTGCTCTGTTCATTACCCTAAACTGTTTATAAATGTATCAAAAAAAAAAGATGCAACATTGCTGGTATCCATAGAAAACCTTTGTTTACTGTAGATTAACAGATTTTATATATTTCATCTCACACCATACAAATTTTCATTGCACTACTGTATTCCTACTGTGCTGCTCTCTACTCCTATGAAAACAATTCTTTACCATGTTTCCACTACTGTCTTTACTCTTATTTTTCTGTCAGATTAAGAAAAAATAACTAGACAGACAACCACACCCAATGGAACTTATTTACAAAATTCTGTATTTACTCTTTATTATTTGGAAATAACTAATTTGTGAGACAGGCATGACAACTTCAGTTTTTATTTAAATATAACCCAGTCAACATATTGAGTGGGCTCCTAAAAAAGCTATTTGATCTCCAGAGGAATAAAATCCACAAACTGTTATTTGCATCCACAATCTGTACAATTATCCAGTCTGTCTCAGGTGTTATATGCAAAACTGACAACAAAATTTCTCATTTGAGGAAGAAGTTAGTGCCTGATCTTTACTGTTATCTGTGACAAAAGATACCTCACAGCTTTGCTACCAAACTGAGTGATATCAACATTTATTGCTCTGAGTTATAAAATGGTTTTCAAGTACCTTCTTAGCAGTTGCCATCTTCCACTTTCTCTCCTGGGCAAAATCAGTTGCCATCCATTGCATTTCTTCCAGCAAATAATCCCAGTGGGATTTTGGTCTTGGAGCCTCTTGGAGTTTAGGCAGTCGCCTGGGGGACCATAAACCTTCCTTTCTCAGTTCTGCTATCCGCTGGTGGATTTGATTTTCCTAAAAAAGAAGTACAGAGACTTACAATGAAGCTGCAGAATACACCTGAAGTTGTAGAATCAGAGAAAAACAGTAATTGCTCCCACTTTATTAAATTAATTGACAGGAAAATAAAAGGTGTAAAAGCATCACACAGAATATATCTTACCAGCTTGACTTGCTCAGCCAGCTTGTCTTGAGAGTTTTCCTGTGGCAACACCGCTGCATTCTGAGCTGGACTTTGTGTTTTAGGTGCTGCTGCTGCTACTGCTAAGCCAGGAGGCTTGGATGCAATAGGAGACAGGGATTTGTTGGTTGCTGGAGAGGTCCTGTTTGTTTGCACTGGGTATGGAGAAGGCGGTGCTGTGCCTGGGATCGCTGCTGGAGCGATGGATGAGGTAGGTGGCAGTGGATTTGCTGCAAGACGCTGAGAACTCTGAGCAGGATCTGCAGATGGCCGTGTCAGAGTCACAGTCTGCCCAAGAAACACACTGGTTACTGATGAGTTGAGGATTCAATATTTAGTCTACACCAGAGCAGAACATAATGGAGACTTTAACTTAATAACAAATGTACACCTGTGTCACAATATGACATGAAATGAACGACACTCAAACGCTGAGATGTCTAAGGCAAAAAGGGTGCATTTATTTCTGGACTTCGATATTTATAGAATTCTAAAAGTGACCATGGATTGGAGGATGAAATTGCTACTTCTCCAACCACACTGGTCAAACTAACAGTTTATCAGTTTTCTCTTCTTCCAGAAAGGAATGCAAAACAATAATTATCTTCATGAAAAGTGCGTGAGAAACTCCATTACAAAAATGTAAACATCAGAAGGCTTAGAAGAACTTTAGAAGAACAAGGCGACACACCTGCATTTTTACAAGGAAAGGATTTAATTGTCCGGTGGAATTAAGAGATGAAGACAGCACTTTTAGGTTTTACCAGCCATGGAAACAAACACATGCCCACCCCACAACGCTCCCGTACCTGCTGCTGTATGGCAGCCTGCGGCTGCGACACCTGGCCCGGCGCCTGTCCTTGCACGTGGATCGCTGGTGGCACCTGCTGCTGCAGCGGCGCCGGAAGCGGGGCGGCCGTCAGGGGCACGCTTTGGGGCTGGATCTTCACCTGGATCTGCGGCTGGGCCGGAGGTTCCACCAGCTGAGGCTGCTGCTGGGGGAGCTGCAGGGTGGCGGGCAGCGACGCCATGGGGACGTTGGCGGGCTGCAGGCGCGCCGGCAGCTGCGGCGGCGGCGTGTGCAGGCTGGCCGCGTTCTGCACCGGAGGGCCCTTGGAGGGGTCGTACTGCTGCTGGCTCTGCTTCTGCCCCGTCAGCTGCACCGTCTGCGGAGTGGGAGGCATCCCACCTGCAGGGCAAGAGGAGACACGTGCAGGTGAGATTGAAACACTAAAACATCCGACGCTCTCTGTTGATTTAAGGAGGAAATCGACTGCGAATAGAGTGGTTTTGTTACTTACTTTGCCACAAGACACCATCACTTGAAAATACCACATCACAATCACAAAATAAATCACCATTACAATAAACAACGAAGTACTTCATGCACGGGACTGTAACTAAAATTTGGAGCACAGCAACTAAAAAAGAGCATGTCATTATAGGTCTTCTAAGTTTTGTATACTCAAAAAAAAAAAAAAAGACTGGTGAACTAATGGAATTTAACCTAAAATACCAGCATGAAGTCTAAATACTACTTAGTTCTTTCTAAGAACACATTCACTCTAACACATATTCTAAAGCTTGGAATGACTAATGAATAAAAATTTGTCATGATGTTTCAATTAGATGGTTTCCTTTTCATAAATCATTGGTTCAGTTCCAGAATTCTCAGATTGGCCATTTTGCATCAGCACCTGTGACGTTTTTCCATGCCCACATGCACCTTTGGAGCCCGTCACTCAGCTCCTTAAACAAACCAGGCATTGCATACCAAGTATTAATTTACATGGAGAAGTGTGTGGTGGGACTAGGATCTTGGCAGGCCGGAAGCCCAAGTTTCTAGTTCCATCACCAACATCTCCTTGTGAAATTAATGTGCAACTGGCATGTGGTGACACAGTACCTTGTGCCGTTGGCATTAGCTGTTGAAGAGGAACTCCTGAAGCCACACCCGGGTGCTGAAAAACCATCCCATGACGGCCCACTTCAATTCGTGGTCTCTTAGACGAATCTGTGATATTCAAATTCCATTTATGGCATGGTATAATGGAATGGGTTCAATTTCACAAAGCAAACTACTACACATGATTCCACCGTCAGCTCCGAAAGCTACAACTACTGTACATGTGTAGCATTTATGAAGAACATGCTCCAGGGGCAGAGTCCCTCTGACTTCAAGTTGGCCATCTCCAATCTTCTCAGCCAGAACAATCAACCTAACCATGTCTCCATGCCTGCCAAATCCAGGCCTATCTACTGGGAGTGGAGTGCACTCTTCCCACAGCACCAGTCACAGTAGACAGTCCTAAGGATCTGGTGATTCCCAAGGTGAGGCAAAAATGTATTTTTGAACAGTGGGCTCCAATCACTGTTTGGAAAAAAAAAAGAGGATAGAAGTGGAATTGTGCCTGTGGGACATACCTGCTGGTGCAAGGGCCTGCTGCTGTCTCTTAAAAGCTTCAATCTCTATGGTGCTCACAGTCCCCGTTGCTGGAGTCCCTGTATGCGTTTGCTACAGGGAAAAGAAAACAAATCACAGAAGTTCAATCTGCAGATGGTCTGACACCAGGAGAGAATTTACAAGCAGATCTAAGGAAGCCAGCACAGAAAAAGTCCTTCAGAACAGCTGTACAACAAAGGAAACAAGATTCATTCAGTATCTGCTATGAAGTTTTAGTTGTCCACAATGCACAAATACTCTTCATTGAGTTTAAATTTTACAGTGATGGATTTGTTTATATATAATGCACACCTACACATTGTTAAGTGATACCAAACTCAGGAAAATGGGATATGTAAAGCAAACCTGCCCAGTATTTTTTGTTACTTTTTTTTTAATTAATGGAAATTTTCATTAGTGTATTATATCTGTATGAAACATCACTAACACAAATTCATCTTCATGCTGAAAACAGCTTAAGCTTATTTGAGTGTCCAGTTCTCTCAGGATAGAGCTTTGTGAGAGTTACTGTCGAAATATTTTAGGAAAAAGCTAGGAAGATGGAATAAAGAACCTCAGCCAAGGTACACAAGTTCCCGTTCCAGTTTTCCAGATGCTGGACTTGTACCTGTTTGCACAGCTGGCAAAATGAGTCTCATGAATAAACTCAGTGAGGAGAAACAATATTGCCATAAGGGTAAGGTGACATCAGAGCTCACCAAAAACTACTATCCATTTTGTCTGAGGATAAACAGCACACAAGCTATGAATTAACAAGCCTGGAAGAGGACTACTGATATTGAGATGCAAAAGAAATCACTGGGCTCTGATTCAGCAAGCTGGAATTTAGCTTCAGTAAGATCACACAGTGCATTCAAACTTTATTTTTAAATCACTACATTTAATATCAGCAACGATGGCAAGAACCTATCCCAGAGAATCCTTTCAGCATCAAGCACAGGTGACAGGCTCATGTACAGGATTACTGAAGCAAACAAATATGGGTATATAACAATTTTCATGCTCCTTGGGCCCTCAGCATACTGGCAAGTACTTATTAATATCCATCAGTGTCTGTGCAAGTCCAATTCTTTTCAGTGAGTTTCCAAGTAATTTTTAACTTCTCCTCAATATTTGGCCATGCTGTGCCAAATATTCTACTATGAAACTTAATATGAGAAAAATAAGGTCTTAAAAGATACCATCAGAAAATACAAACACAGACTTTATGTATGGCAGTTTCTGCATCCTGGGAAATGAATTAATTTAGCACTCTAGTTCTCAAAGTGTACTTTTCTAATGGTGAGAGCCTTAAAGTTGAGTATAGTAACGGTTTGCAAATGTGAATTTTTTTTTATGACAACATAGAAAGATAGCAATTTCCCATAGTTTTTTTTTTTAATTTTATTCACACACTTTATTTTCTCCTCTGATTTTAAACAAAATTTTACCAATGTAAATTAAACCCACAGAGGTAAACACCAGTTTATATTGAAATAAATCACAGCAGTGACATTCTGCATCTTCAGTGCTTCACTGCATGCTATTAATAATCACAGCCAACCTCACCTACAATGACTGGGTTTCAAATGCTCCTTTTGAAGCTGAATATATCTCATGCCCCTCAGACTCAATCAATAGCTATGAATTAATAACACTCAATCTCTTTGCTGCTCTGAGGGCATTTGCAGCCACTCCAGCGATACAGCTACAGCCTTAAGATGTAAATTCTGGTTTTAAGTGTCTCTGACTCATATTCACAGTTCAGTGCTATTTCACACTCAATAGGGATTAAGTTTTCAAATATTTGTCTTGTCACAAGGTAGACATGCAGCATATTTCAGGTCCAACAGCCAGTGTCTGACAGAGCATCATATACCTGGGCATTTACAGAATTTTCAAAATAAGCAACAAGAATTGATTATGCAAATGCTACCAAATTGACTAACAAATTCATTTTATGACCCATTTGCATCAGAGGCTGCTGGGACATCTGTTTAAGAAATTATATTCTTCAAACTCCACATTAAATGACATTTATTTCACCTGCTCTTTCCCTCTGGATGACTGCATACTCACAGTTTCAGGCTGTTATCTCTACTTTAGGATTTTTGACTGACATTTTCTTAAGAATATGCCTCCCAGCTGTCTGCATTATCACCATGTAATTTAGGCCAGACTCTTCAGAGAGCAGACATGTCTTCATAAATTGCAGTCACATACCAATAATATTAGACTAAAACTGTCCCAACTTTAATTAAAATAATGTAGTTGTCCCAAGGTCATGATTATGCAGCATGCACACAATAATCACTCTGAGCACTGCACTTCTACACTGGGATTTGAATGGTGATGCTGATTGGGACACATAATTTCTCCATAAACAGTTGCAAAGAGCAAGACTGATGGAAAGAAATGCCACTTTCTGTTAGCAGTTTGTGGTAAAAGGTCAGTACCACACAGAGAGTTTTGTGCATTTTTAGCATGAACCAGTTTCCCTGAAACTGCATGCTACAATACCTTCAAAAGTATCACCACTGCTGCAGCTACAGCTTGGTGGTAACCCTAATAACTACAATAAATAACCTGATATAATGTTAGTTATTTTAAACAGCTTAAATGAAGCCTGACTACCTAAGGAGACTTCCAAGATATGCCAGTACTGGCCCTAAGGAAGAGCTCTCAGTGCAATCCCCTTTGCTGCACAACTCCTTTGTACAATATCACAGGGAACATCCCATTTGTTACACACAGGAACACAACCCATCCTGTATTTCATTTCACTTTCTGTTTCCAAAGCCCAGATAAAGGCAGAACACCTGTACAGCTGCTGTGGTACAGCAGAGTAATTCACCCTGCAACACCTGCTAAGCATATCACTGAGCTAAAAGGTAAATAATTTAGTTGCAGATGGAATTAGGGTCTATTACTTCTCGGGGTATGTACGCAGTGATGTCTGGGTAACAGAGTTGAAGGCAGCTGCATAAAACCACACCAAACTGAAAAGGTTCATCACTGATCCACAAACATTTTAACTGATTATCACATTTATTTCTTGGCTTTCTCCAGCATTCCTCATGAAAAAAAGAAAAAAATTGTTAAAAAGGACTTTTTGAATAAAAATAAGCACTTCTGTTTCTTCTTCCCAAAATTTATGGTAGAGCTAATGGAAAGCAGTTAATTATTTAAAACAAATTGGGTCAGAGGATTAGTATATTGTTTAACACATCTCAGGGAAGGCAAATCCAAAACCTTCTGCAGCCACACTCAAAACCTTTAATACATAAGGGGAAGAAAAAAAAGAAAAGAATTTTAGAAGAAATCCACAATTACAATGCCACAGACAAAGAATCCATATCATCACTACGCAGAATGCACAAATGAACCAAATGCATTAGGGATACAAAAGACAAACAAACCAAAGTGAAAACATTCAAGCTGAAAGTTAATGCAATAAGCCAGCAACCTGGAGACAAAGCTTTAACTTCCTCAAGGCTTCTACTGATGCATTTGAAGACTGAAGAGGTTTTTTGGTTTTGTTTAGATGATAAGGGATGGGCTCTTGGGAAAATTCTAATTCATCTAAGAAATATCAAATCTGAATGAAGAAAAAAAATCTGGGATGAAACTACATTTTAGAACCATTGAAAAGTACCTGAAATGGTTGCTGCTGGGATGAAAAAGCAGCAGAAACATTTGGAGGAAGCTGGGTTGCTATAGCGACAGGAGTACCAGTCTGCCCATCCTTTCCTGTCACAACCTTTACCTGAGAGAAATATTTTGGGAAAAAAAAAAAAAGAAGGGAGAATCATTTTCTTTTTAGAAGTTTTTCTTTTTTTTCAACTGTTCAACACACTCCTTTGGTACTGATGGCACCTCACTGAAGAGGGGATAATAACTAAACCACCACCAGTACAGCTTGTTTCGAGCACAGCCCATTTTTAGAGTTCTGTCTTACTTTTAATAGCAGAACAGAGCACAGCCTTGACTGTTTATTGTGACTTCTTGTCACTGGAAACGTTTTCTTAAATCCAGTTAACATAAAAGTGTGTTTTAAATTGAATGATTGCTGCTGCTAACGGACAACAAATTAGCATGACAGACAGTTTGAACGTAAGAGAGCTTCAACATTTATTTAAGCAATGAGCACAGCCACCACTCACTCTCCCCTCGAATTCCCAAAGAAATCAACCTTCCAGGCAAGGGATGAAGCGCGTTGCTTTAGCAGAAAGTGATAAAGAGGGGAGGGGGAAATAAAACAGGAGACGACAACAAAATACAAAGAAAGAACATACTCAAAAGATGTCTTAATCTTTCAGGATTCATCACTTGAAAACACATAAAGACTTTTGCTGTTGCACTTTGCAAAATTCTCCAGCAGTTACAGGGACAAGAAGCTTCCACAAACAAAAGAGGATCCACCACGAGAAGGCAGTGAAGTACAGCAAATTCTCAACCCGAAACACCACAGGGCAGAGCCTCAACTCATTTAAAGTGTAGCAGCACCACTGACTTCAAGGAGCCTGTACCATTTACACCCACTAAAGATCCCTCAAAGTGTGCAAATGGTAGTTAAAAATACCTGGTTATTTCAGCTGACAAACACGCAACCCAACAAGAACACCTAAACAATTTGACAAAACACAAACCAGGTGAAAAAAAAATACTGAATATCCATTGTCAATAAATTACAGTAACAGGCTAGCTTTTAAGTTACTATATAATGATTCCTTCACAAATGTCACAAGCAGAAATAGATTTTCACAAGCAGAAATTCCTAATTAAGAAGCTTATACAACAAAGTACTGAACAAATTAAACTTCAGCCGTTATTCTGTTAAAATTTCCCACAAATTCCAACTGAAGGTATGATTGCTAATGATTCATGCCTAAGTCATCAAATTTCAGTGAAGGCACTCATTTCCAAGGGGTATTCAAAGCAACACGAGGTTCTTTACATAATATTGGTTTTTCTACAAACTGCCAGCTACATAATTCACACATTTTAGAAGATATTTATGAGTGCCAAGAGGTGCAGGGGCATCAGTTCCATCTACCCTGCCGCAACCACTTGCCAAGTTGGCTTGTGGGCAGGCTCTGCACCAGACCAGTGCTCCAGCACCCACAGATGGGTACAAACATGCAGGAAAAGCTGCACAGCACCTGTTTGTGGCAAGCTTCTTTCAAGTTCTTTGCCATCAATAAGCAGTGAATTCAAGTTAGGAATTTAAACCTTTGCATAAGTAACAAAGTGAACTTGTCAGTGTCCAGTCTGTAAGTGCTGGGTGTTAATCCTTTAAACAGCAGCTCACACACAGAGCTCCAGGGCATCCTGAATAATGTAATACATGACTGTGGACCCTTACACGTTCTCCCTCACTAATCAGATTAATTCACATTTTTGTTGGGCTGCAACAACATTGAACTTCAGTAACATCTATGATTAGAAGTCACATGAGTCAGGTTAATCTCTTGTAATGCTTTTGCTCATTGTTTTTTGGTTTGTCCAGGTCTAGTTAAGTGAAATTCAAACTATGATTCCTAGTCATAACCATTCTGAGAGCTTAAAACCATTTCCTTTACTTGTGTAAAACTTTACTTGTGTGCAGCTAGGACAGTTAAAGCTCCCTCTCTATGCTTTCATTTTAAATCCAAAAATCTAACAGCACACTCAAACCAGCCCATGGAATCACACTACCCAGCAGAACTGCATTCTTTCAGGTCAACTATTTTATGAAAAACTGCCACACTTCACTAAGCAAAAATGATTTTTCATGTCCTGTCCCATTCTTTAATACTTCACAATCCCAGTGCTACAACTTCATCTATGATTTTATTCCAGTAAAGTTTCTTACCTCATCATTGATGACCTCAGATTGTTCTTCCTCTTCTTCCTCCTCCAGGTCCAAGTCATTTTGCCTCAGGTATGCTTGCAGTGGAACACAATGTTTCTTCTTAAAAGCTAAAAAGTCCATCATATTCCCTTGAAGATGTTGCAGGAAAAACAGTTCAATCAAACATTCCTTAAAAGTTTCCTTAAGAATTTCCATCTGCTTGTGGTGATGATCCAAACATAGTTTTCTCATTTGAGCAGTTTCTTGGTTGGCAGGAGGAATCTCCTCCAACTTTTTGGGCTGTTTTTTCACTGCTGTGTTAGCTGTAGGAGTGAGAGGAAGACTCGACAGCCCCTGTGGCACAGTGGCCCGTGAAGGACTTGTGGGAGGAGGAGGTGATGTCATTCCAAACGCACTCGGTCCTCCAACCCCTGCTATCAATCCACCAGAAGTCCTGTCAAATCCAAGGGGTCTACTCAGCTGCTGCCCTTGAAGCACTTGCTGCTGCTGTTGCATTAGCTGCCCCTGGATAATATTGCTGATTTGGGGTGGCAAGCTGGTCGTTGTGATGTGGCCCGGGCTAGTCAAAGATTGCATATTTGCCCCGCTGGCCACGGGGCTCTGAGGGCCGAGGTGGTGGATGGTGCCCCCAGACTGCGAGTGAGGCTGCGAAAGCCTGCGCTCCCTCACCGTGGCAGGCGGCCCGGACGATGGAAGCTGCACTTGTGCAGCAGCTCCTTGAGCAATCTGCGCAATCCCCGGTCCTTCCTGGTACACGAAGTGTCCGCCGTTGGAAGGACTCAGGCTGATCTGTCTCACCAGCACGCTGGCATCCACAAACCCTCTGGTGGGGCTCTGGCTGCACATGCCCAGGCCAGCCCCGGGAGTGCCGGCCCGGACGCTGGGCAGCGCCTGCACCGGCACCGGGTTGGGCTGCGTGGGGCTCTGGGACTGCACTTGCTGGGGCAGCGGAGAGGTGACCTGGATGTACGAGGGGGATCCATGCTCAAAGCGCCTCTGCTGGGGGCTGAACTGAAAGCTCGGGGACGTCGGGTTTGGAAGCGGCAGCGGGGTGAGCGTGATCTGCTGGTTGCCCGAGGCCACCGGGCCCACGTTCTGCAGGGTGATGTTGACGTTCTGCCCGGCCACGGGGCTCCGGCTCATGATGAACTGCTGGATTTGGTAGCTGGGCGACTGCGGCGCCGAGGGACTCGCAGAAGGCGCGAAAGAGGCCGCGGGGGACTGGGGCAAATTTGCCTGTTGTTCTTCTCCCTCACTGCCCGTGAAGGACCTGGACCTCTGGAGCTGGCGCTGGGCATTCTGAGGACCATTGCCATGGTGCATTCTCACTGATCTAAGGTTTTACAGTATAGTCTAAAGAAATACACAAAAACAGACATTCAGGGAATGTAAAACTCTTCTGCAACTGAAACTATTTAGCTACAACTAGAAAGATTACCTTATAGTAAGAACTGTTATCCTGGCTTTGCAGCTACTTAAAATGTTTCAAATGATTCAAAACCCTCAGCACAACCAAATCTCACTTAGATCCCTCATAAATTTCTCTAGCTAATACTGCTATTGAATAGTCTTACAAATGTTTGTTCCCCTTAGCTAGGTAGAATGACTTCAAATAATAAAAAAAAAGAGTGAACAGGACTTTTTCCCTTGCTGTGGAACTTCAAGAAACAATGGTCTCCAGCATCAAAGGCATCTACTCTTTGTCATGTTCATTATTACCAATGTTTCAGTGCTTTTAACTCTTAATGCAAAGTTATTGTAAATGTAATTGCTAAAATGTATAGTCCATTGTTTCAACAGCAACTAAAAATAAGAAAATGGACAGATTATTCAACTTGATTGTTCTAGCTACTGAAGGCCAAGTCATCTTAATGTATACAAAACTACTGTACTCAATCCTTAACTGCCTGGTCTTTCCTTCAGAACACAAAGAGACAAAAATTAACCAAAACTGCATTTAATTTAAAATGCTGTTTATTGAGTCTAGCTACCCAGAAATCCCAAAACGTTCTGGTTTTGTGTTTCAATTACAGACAAACAAAAATTCCAATGACATGCACTGACAGGTAGATTCAAGGCTGGGAGTCACACAGAAATAGCAGCAAGAGAAAATGAAACCTGATGGTTGTTTTTTTTTTTTTTTTTCCCTTTCAAAATCTCTCCTTTGGGAGTCACACAGAAATAGCAGCAAGAGAAAATGAAACCTGATGGTTGTTTTTTTTTTTTTTTTTTTTTTTTTTTCCTTTCAAAATCTCTCCCCTCTTTTGAAAGCAACACTTTCACTTTTAGAATTTCAGGCCAAACATACAGAAACATGCTGCTACTCCTTTGTGTTCCTAACTCCAAGTTGGTCGCAGGCGGCAACAGGCAGCAGCACACCGGCACGGCAGCACCGCTGGAAGCGGCGGGATGCAGCGGGCGCTGCCGGCACTCCCGCTCCTCCGCTGCCCAGGCAGGGAGCACACCACAGCCCTCCGCTGCCCCGTCCTGCGCTGTCTGCAGCCATCTGCCCACGCCCTGGGGATGGAGATTCCACTCCGTGCCCCGGGAAAGAGGCGGCTGTCCGGGAAGATGGAGCAAAGTAGCGCCGTCACACACGTGCCAGCAGCGACAGGGGGCCGAGAGCGCGGGACCTCCCGTGCCGGGGGTACCGCGGAGCGCAGCCGGCACAGCGGCTCCTCCGGCCGGGTTCCGCCTCTCCCGCACCGGGGCTCACCCGGCGGGTCTCGATTGTCCCGCAGCGGGCTCATCCCGGCGGGTCTCGGCTCTCCGTACCGGGCTCATCCCGGCCGGTTTTGACTGTCCCCCATCGGGGTTCACCCGGCGGGTCTCGGCTTCCCGCACCGGGGCTCATCCCGGCGGGTCTCGGCTCTCCCACTCTTCGGAGCTCAAACCTGAGCGAACGAGCTCCGTAGAGCGGGAAGGGGAAAAAACTGCACTCCTTACAGGCCCCTTTTCCAAAAGATTTAACAATACTGCAATTCTTCGATGTATTGTGCTTATTTCACAGCGCCGACACCAAATAATTAAGATTCAAACGATACACCAACAACAAGGTCTTATTATTTTAATTACCCGCACCTCACTGCCACTTACGGCCCCAGTGAAAACACTTAATTAATTACAGGCCGACAGGGAGGTCCCGAAGCAGGGATCGCCTTTTGTGTGCGAGCAGCGCGCCGGGGCCGCCCGGCCGGGGGAGAAGCCCGGCCCCGCCGCCCTGCGCCGGCACCCGCGGGCCGCGCCGCGCCTGCGCCAGCGCCGCGCCTGCGCGCTCCGCGGGTCCTGTCGCGATAGGAACGGGCTCGGCGACAGCGCAGGAAAATGATATTTATTTAGCAGAGGCAGGGCAGCCTAAGCACCGAGCAATGGGTAGTTTCTGTCCGCGCACGGAGCGGGGCTGTCGCTGCTCTTCAAGACACGGAGTGAAAATCCACACTGGCAGCTGGCGGGGCTTGCACGGCCCAGGGCAGGAGAGACCTGGAGCGGGGCCAGCGGGGGAACAGCGGGGATGGAGGGCGGGAGCATCTCCGACGGGAAAAGGCGGAGCAGCCGGCGCTGCTCAGCTGGAGCTGAGAGGGGACCCCATCCCCTCTGTCAGGGAGCTCGGAGCACGGCCGGCTCTGCTCGGGGGTGCCAGGTTGCAGGACAAGAGACAAAGGGCGCTCACTGATGCTCAGGAGGGTCCACCGGGCATGAGGAAGGATTTGTGCTACATCAGATGGAGCTGTGCTGAAGCAATCAGGCTTTTCTTTACATCAGCACAGATTTGATTCTTGGACAGTAAACACTACTTAAGGCTAAAGATCATCACAGAGCCTTTGATAAGAAAAAGATCCCCGTGAAATACGTTCGTGCTTAAGAGAAAACAAATTCACCAATCAGACCACCAGTGATTTACTGTTAAATCTGAGAAAAATATTGACAGTAGAACTTAGAGAAATCTATATGAGGAACTTCTTTTTCTAGTACACATTGTCATCAACTCGAAGTGATTTATACAGATTTGAATACACTCAGAATTCTGGTCGTTGGCACAGGCTTGTCTAACACAAGGAGGATGACCACCTACATTCTGCAATAAATACAGAGTGAAAGCTTAGGTACCAAAAATACATAATCAAAAGTGTCCTGTCTCAAAATTCATAGTTACCAATAGTCTTGACTGGAGACAATTCATATCCTACCACTTAAAAGTTAAATAGCTCCCCTCTCTTATTTTTAACAAATTATACATCCAAGGTCATATTGTAATAACATTGGGGGAAATCACATTCCTAAGTGTATGGAAATGTAATAAATATAACCTATATTAGTTATACTGTTTACTAACATTTGCTTGTGCACCAAGCTATTCAAAATGCTAAAATCTAGTTATGTTTCTGCTCAGTAAACACTCTTGTAGTACTTTAATAGCAATGAGGAATTTAAAAAAAAAAAAAAAACTAACAAAAAAGACCCCAGAAGCCCCCAAGTCCTCACAATGCAAAGCAAGCTTCAACTTAAACTCTCCTTCCCCTCTGGACCCGTAATGGTTTTTATGTAACAATTTTGGCATTGCTTTGGGGAGTGATGAACATTGTTACAAGAGTTAACCACATCACTGATAGGATCCAAGCCCTCTAAGAAAAAATGCAAAAATGTTTAAGTCATCCTAAAATCAAGTTTAGAAAAGTCAGATTACAGATGTATTTGACACCTTTTGCTGCAGATGTTGCTTTTGATTGATTAAAACAATGTCAATAAAAGGGTAACATTATCATTGGAACAGGCCAATCTTTATTACAATTTATCAATATCGATATTATCAATATTTATTAGATATTGTTACCTTCTGATTTTCTATATGAGCTGACAGTTCAGGATTTCTACTCAATTTAACTGTAAACACATAACACTGGTTCCCAAACAAGCCTAGAAATAAATAAACCACTACCTTTTCAAAATTCTGTCTCAGATCTAGTAAAGCACTTACTTTTTATGTATCATTAAATGACTGCTCACATTTTTAATGTTACAGTACCTGAGATAAAAAGTCTGTTGAACAATCCCTTCCCTGAGCAGCCAGTTCTTGAATCATGTTTAATACTTTTTTTCAACAGCCTCTCTTCAATAGAATTACCACTTACAAGCCTGTAAAACAAAGAAACCCATCACATTCCCTGTGCTCTCAGCACATCCTTCCAAGACAAGAAACAGTCACTTGAGAGAAGCTTTCAAATACATCTCAGAACTGCAAAACCAGCATCTCATCACTGGATCTGAAACTCCGTGATAATCAAGAATGGCATTTGTTTATCAAGGGCTGAAAACACCCACATTTATTTTGGCTGTCCCAACACAGAAGTCCAGATGGTTTGTTAGATGAAAGTGGGAGGGAGAGACAGGAACAGAAGCAGCAGTGTGGGAAGGACATGATTTTCATTTTCCCCCTAGTTTGAAGGGAAGATGTAGGATATAATCTTTGAAGGCATCTTGAAAGATCAAGTTACTTAAACTACAAGGGTGACCTCAACCAAAAATGCTAGTTTCTCCCCAGATTATCTTCTCTCTACTTTTGATTTTAAAACATTGATTTCTTAGCATGAAATTCACCTGTATGTGTGGGTATCTCTGCCTCTTGCACTTTTGTCATGCCCATCTATGTGTCCATCAGTGTCATAGAAGACAACAGGAATCACATCTGTGTGACTGACACCTGTGGAGGGAGTGTGGGAAGACAGGATAGCACAGAAGGATCACTTGTCTTGGTTGAAGCTTTTTATGAATTCCTAAAATGGGGAAACAAGCAACTAAATTACAAATTGACATTAATATAGGATAAATCTCTAAACAAACTTTTTTTTAGCAGAGTCAGAAGATTGGAAAAATTGCTTTCTTATTACATCCCCTACCTACATTAAATGTGCAAATATTTCAAGTTATCTGACTGCCCACATTATAGATTTACACAGTTCATAATTAATCTGTCTACCATTAAAGCTATTAATTTATGATGCAGTCAGCCATATAAAATCTAGAGATCTATTACAAGTAATCACCTCATGTCCTGTGACTAAGCACACCTGACTGAGTTGTTATTCCTGTACATGCTCCATCATTTTTTTTCTCTATTGACTAAATCAAATCCCTTCTGTTGTGCTGCCTTGTGTTGCTTTAAGGCAAAGTATTCTTTTATGTTTTATACAGAATCTAACAGAAAGCATAATGATGCAATTTGGAATAAAAAAATAAGAAAAACTTCAATATATTGTTAATGTTTGCTCAAATTGTAGGCCCCAGAGGATACAGAGAATCTTACTGGGGAGGGAAAGGAGCATACTTTCAATTTATCCTCAGGCAATGCCAGGGCACTCCACGAAAAATAAAAGCCCCTGGAGTAAGGCTGAGGAACTGCCAACATAAAAATGCCAGCTACACTTAAAGTACTAACAATGTAAATAGCTACAGATAATGAAAGCAAAAGCAAATTAATCAAATGGCTATTGTGAAAAAAAAAAAACCCTGCATTTGAAGCACAAATTGCTCATAAACATAGGATAAGTAGTGGCATACTCCTTGGAAACACCCTAAATGCCTCATCAAATAGTAACATGACTGACATATTTCATATATAATTACATATTTGAGCTACAGCTATGTACATCATTTGCTTTAATAAGTAAGGACCTTATGTAAAGGAATCTTGCAAATGTCTTAGACTTCCCTTTAGCATTTTCCCTCCCCACCATGAGCATCTACTCACTATGAGCTTGAGGAAGAGATCCTCTTACCAGACAATGCCAGCTGTGAGCACCACTCTCACTAACTCACACACGTGAGGCAATGGAAATTCAGGAAAAGCTCCAGGAATGCTCAGCATTGCAATCATCTGTGTCAAAATCAGCACCTGCTGTCCCTTCTGCTTTCAGCTGCCAAAGCAGAACGACAGGAGCCCCCAGCTTGCCTGGTTATGAATGAGAACTGAGGGTTCTGCAGGTGACACTCACAACTGGAGACAGCCCCTGCACAGAGGTGTGACCCATGGGGGGTGTTTAATACCTGAATCATGCTGCACCATCTCTGCTCCAGGACTTTCATTCCATGGGTCCATGTGTAGGAAGGATTTTCTCCATACAAATATGGACGAGCAACAAATACAGCTGGGAACACACACAGGTCTCTATAAAACAAATGAAAACTTTATTATACTGATTTTTAACTGCTTGGGCTATTAACTACTCAAACCCAGTAATATTTGCAAAGATGTACAAAGCACCTGGCTAAAGGTAAAAGAAAGCAAATCAGGACATGTAGTTTTAAGTTGACATCAATAAAGTGAAGAAAAAACATGAAGAGGAAATTACCACTATCCATAAAGTTACCAAGAGAAGCTTACTACTGCTCCTACTTCTTTTTTTTTTTGTCAGCATTAACACAACAAATACAAGATATGTCAAAATAAAGTAGAATTGTTATATAACTAATAACAGTTGCCATGGAACTACTGAGAGTTTCAGGTCCTAGAATGATCCAAAATTATACATCTGAGATGCAAATAGGTTCAACATAGAGGAATGTAGTCTGCAAAAAGGATAAAACAAGGCGGCCTATTTATCATTTAGCATTTTACAGTATGTATATATGTTCACATAAATACCCTGTTTTGGAGGGTAGCACACACTCATCAAATCTGTGCAAAGAACTGCACATGATTTGTCTCAGTTACCTGGAAATAACATCCTTCAGGGCAATCTGCTGCTGTTTCAGTGTCAGAAAGGGTTCCTGCAATGGATCCTTAGAGTATGGAAGGCAATTTGCAAAGCCATCCCAGCACCATTTGTTAATCCTGGCAGAACATTGCTGAGAGATTTTTCTTTCACTGATCCCAGAGCAAGTTTCCAACAGGTCTCTGCCATACAGGGGGTTCTGGAAATATGACACTCATTCCAGAAGAATATTTTGTCCAGGTGTTCCTTCAGTTGTCTCTTTCTTCTGGAATACCCTTTAAATTCAAAATTCTTCTCTGAATCTATTGTAACCAGATGAAGGTTATGCAAAAAACAAACTTGAAAAAAAAGGATAATATAGCTCATGCAAGAGTTCTATGAATGGCGAAGAGCAGGAGAAAAGCTGACACTTGTGACACAAGGACAAATGTTAGCTTTGGTATTGCAATGAAAAATAAATCTGCTTTTCTACTTTATGCCTACTGGCAAAAATATTATTTTTAGTCAGTAATCTGAGCTGAAAGAGGTACCCAGCTGAAGAGCATATGGCAGGAGGGATTCTGCTTCTCTCAACACACAGAAGAAACACACTATACTGTAAAATTCAAGTACACCAAATGTCTGATGCTCCAGTCCTCTCTGAAGGATTACATGGAAGGGGAATAACAGAACTCCCATATCCCTTAGTCATCTTTGGGGTCTGGAGACAGCAAGAGAACTCCCCAGAAGATGCTAATTAGGGTCAAACTTCTTAATGGAGCAAAGCTTTAACCACGGGTATAGTTTCAAAAACACTGCAATTGTAAGAGCTGAGTTCACAGTAACTGTTTTGTGTATGATATTTCCAGGAAACCAAAGATGTCTGAACAGAAAAAGCATGAGTTCTTCTTCTGTTTTACATATATACTTCAGCTATCACTTCCAAGTCCTTAACTTCATTAATTGCCAATGCTCTCTTCTGGCAGAACAGCCTAAGAACACAAGGGACATCCTCCCTGTCACCTGTCACAGCCACATGTCACACAAGCTGTCTTGGGCTTCACTGACCACACTCTTCTCATATCAGGCTAATTTCTTTGTAAGATTTAACTCTACATTGCTCTACAGCAGAATTACATTTGCTCCAAGACTCAAAACCGAACCCTCCTAACTTCTCTTCTGAGGGAAGAATCAGGAGCAAAAATCAAATAAGCTCAAAATTTAACTGAGCATTTTTTTCTCCCTCTGTCCTTCCCTCCCCCCCAAAAAAATCTTTAAGTGTTTTGTAAGCACATCTAAAAATTAACTAGAAGGAGAAGATGTAATTATGCTGCTCAGGAAACTCTATTTCAGAAGTAATTTTCAGTGTTTGATCAAAACCACAAGTGACTTCAACTCTTGAGTGTGGCCAGAAAGATCAAAACTGAGCTTTCATAAATGAAAAGAACTATTAAACAGTAAGAAGCACTTTGCTTTCCCTCAGAAGACTGAGGGAGAAGACTTTAAAGGCATAAAGTCTTTAGCAGTGATCAGTTTGGAAACAAATGATAAAAAAACCCAAATAATTGTGAATGAACCCTCTCAGCCCTCACAAATATTACTGTTTTACATCTGTTACTTTAAAAAAATCAGTAAAAAAATAAATGAATCATTTGAACACTACATACCTGTTTGGTTGGAGCTTTACTGGCTCAAGTCTGGGTGATGAAGGGGAGCAGGAGATCTCTTCAATAAGCTTTCCAGTTACCTTCAGTTTTGGCAGCATTTGTGCTTCATAACAAGTAATTTGGTTTTCCATCCCAATCACATCAAATAGAGACCAGTCTGTGTGCTTAAGTTACAGTAAAAGAAAAGAAAACCCACAAAGTAAAGAAATATTTTACTACTATTCTGCTGCAGTTTAAAAAAAATAATAGTAATAATAGCACAGTATCTGAGAAAGATGAAAAAGCTCCCAGCTGATGGCAGGATTGAAGTGGAACTGGAAGAGCCACGTGTCATGTGACGCTGCAGAGAGCAGCTGCTGTTACTTTAAAAGGTTCCAAGGGCCCACACCATGGAAATAGAGCATTGTGCTCATGTTACCAGGAGTCACAAACAGGGCAGCACCCTCAAATGACAAGCTCTGCAGTTAATTCACTGCTCGTAATTAAAGCGTTTGCCTTTGTAGAACTGGCATTCCAGATCCATCTATTCCCACCTTGACACATTAACCCTAAAATAAAACCATACAATTATTTTAATTTTTTACTCATTTCTAGCTAAAAAGCACATTTCTAGAGAAAGAAAATAATTACAACCCCTTTAGGAGTACTGTTTGAAGTTTACAAATAGTGAAGAGGCAGCCCCGAACTCCCAGATCCTCAGTGATCACATCCTAACCATGTAAATCCTGCCTATTCTTTTCTGGTGTAAAATATCAAACTCACATTACTCTCTTGGCAGTTACCATCTTTCATCCTCTTTCTTGAAAAAAATCTGTTGCTATCCACTGCATTTCTTCCAAAAGTTAAATCATGGTGTGATTTGTGCTGTGGAGCCTGATGGAGTTTGGGCAGAGGTTTCAGATATCATAAACTTTCCTCAGTGCTGCTATTTCGTGGGGCCTGATGGAGTTTGGGCAGAGGTTTCAGATATCATAAACTTTCTTTCCTCAGTGCTGCTATTCGCTGCAGAATTTCATTTTCCTTCAAGTAAACATAATTAAACTTATGTTTCCTACTGCACAACAGAAAACCAAGACAGATACTGTGAAAAAATGTAAAATGTTACATGGATAATCAATAGAAACAATTATTCAGTCCTTGGAACATTCCATGGTGTTTGAAGCTGCACTTTATTAAAAGATAGTGAATAATGCATTTTGTGCAGCTTTTTGTAAAGTTTCTGAAGGACTTTGTGAGGCAGAAGTTATATGAGAAATCAGTAGAGAATCTTGGGATGCAGAGCTACTCAGTCTTGAGAACTTTTGGTTTTCCTCCTAAAATACAGTACTCCTAGATCTCATCAGAAGTGCTGGCTGATTTAGTGAGAAATTTCACAGCATTTAAATACTCTGCCAGATGGCAGGTGGACAAAATTCTCTAAAAAGTTAGTACAAAAACACATTTAGCTTCTGGCATTTTTATTAACACATGTAAGCATCCTGCAACTGCTGGCAAGTCAGCACAAGCAGCACAAATTTTTATTGTCATCCCCCCTCCCCCCTTATTTTAAAATGGTGCATAAAAATAATGGATTGTGTTTAATTAAATTTCCTTCTAGGGCTTCATTACAGGAACAAATGCTACTTCCCTAGAGAACGTGTCTGATTCCTTCTCACCCCTTTCCTTTCTTCAAGAAAAATCATGTATATCTGCAGCACTAATTAAAACCAAATGAGAGGCACAGGTATCCACAGAGCATTCCAAATTTAAATGAATACAAAATCTTTTTGTACAGATCCATACCCAGCTGAGCTATACCACAGCTGTGTGAAACACATTATCAGGCTTGGCAAAGTCACCTACAAAGATATTTGCTCCTTTCTCCCCAGGCTGGAGTGATAAATTCTGCCATCCACAAAGTCTCACACAAAACACAAAGGTCAACACTCCCCATACAAGATAATATAAAAATGTTGTATAATATAAATGTTGTATAATATACAAATATACCTGTTGCTGTGAGGGAACTGGAGCTGGGACCACAAGCACATGGTTCTTATCCCATCCTGCTGGTTGTACCTGCTGGGGCAGAGCTGGGTTCCTGCTGTGTGCAGCAGGTAAGGAATGAAGCAAACTTGACAAATTTGGTCCATTTTGCTGGTGGTTTTCCTCCTGGCTGATCTGCTGAGCCACTTGAGGGACAGGAGGCATTCCACCTGCAGAGAGAGTGTTAAAAATTGCAATTCCAGTAAAGAAAATGGGGAAATGACAAAGAGAACCGAAGAAAGTGGCCATACAGCCTGTTACAAAGCTGCTGAAATCAGCTTCCACCACACCCCAACAAACCTGCCTGCCTGGGAGCTCTGAGGTGTGACTCAATCAGCAAGTCAGCCTAGCATGCACTTATCCACTCCTGAACCTGGCAGGATCTTTGCTAACAACACCCTGCAGAGAATTGACAACTCCACAACCAATCTCTATCAGGGTATCAAATGACCAAAAGGGAAAATTTTCATGCAACAACATTAATTAAGGAAAGCAACAAATTGGGCTCAGAGGGTACAAATTTAAACCCAGTGTATGGAAAATGAGATGTGCAGCACTTACTAGGATCTCTAAGATTTTCTCCAGAGGGTTTTTTAAAATGTGTAACAATTGATATTAGATATAATGTTACAATTACACAAAATCTCATTAAAGCAGTTATTGGTAATTACAAAGCTTAAAACTTAATCTTAAATCATTAATATAAGCACTAGATGTAACAGCATTATTTTACAGTTCATGACTTTTTTTTAAATTGCTGTCAGAATTAATTGAGTCTCTCTGTTAAGTAATAATTTGGGAACGAAATAAAGTTTAACCTAATAAAGTGATCTCATTATCAATAAAATGGTGCATTGGACTACCAGTTCCAAAGCTCTACCCACTCTTATATCTTGATTTAAATTTTACATTCACTCCATTTTGCTACAAAATGGAGTTTATGGTTGCAGAATTGCTTCCTGCACAACTGTAAAGGGAGTTGATCTCAACGGTCACTGACCTTTTAACCCAAATTAACCACTTGAATTCTTTACGGTCCCAGTAGATTTATCCAGTTGCTGCAGCTCATTCTGAGTCTGGACTGGGTATGTTTGTACTTCGAAGAAGATGCAGGATGGCCAAGCTTTCGGCTGTCCCCAGCCCAGGGACCCACGTGCGGCAGTGACGGAGAGAGGCCGGTGCTGTCACGGGGGGTGACGGGGGCTGCGACAGCAGGGAGCTGCCTGGTGTCACTCCCGGCAGTGCCACAGAGCAGCGGGCGGACGGTCCGCGCTGCAAAGGCCATTCCAGCGCGGGGGGTCGGTGCTGCCGCGGAACAGAGCGGCCGCTAGCACGGGGCTCGGCAGCGCCCTGGCCCCTCACATCGCTGCGTGCCCCGTTCCCCGCACCGGCACGAACCTCCCGCCAGCGACCGCTGTCCCCTGTCCCCGCACTGCCCTGCGCCACCCCCGCACAGCCTGTGACATCCCGCACAGCCTGAGCCACTCCGCACGCCGGGTACTACCCCCACACAGCCTGTGACATCCCGCACAGCCCGAGCCACCCCGCACGCCGGGTACTACCCCCATTATCCCTGCGACATCCCGCACGGCCGGAGCCGCTCCAGACGCCGTGCACTACCCCCGCACAGCCTGTGACATCCCGCACGGCCGGAGCCGCTCCGCACGCCATCCCCGTACACCCCTGCGACATCTCACACCTCGTTACATCCCCCACCCCCCGCCCAGCTCCCGCACAGCCTGAGCCACCCCGCACGCCGGGTACTACCCTCATTATCCCTGCGACATCCCGCACAGCCTGAGCCACTCCGCACGCCGGGTACTACCCCCATTATCCCTGCGACATCCCGCACGGCCGGAGCCGCTCCGCACGCCATCCCCGTACACCCCTGCGACATCTCACACCTCGTTACATCCCCCACACCCCGCACAGCTCCCGCACAGCCTGAGCCGCTCCGCACACCATGTATTACCCCCGTACACCCCTGTGACGCCCCGCACAGCCCGACCCGCCCCGCGCTCCCCTCACGCCCCGGGCCCGCCGCGCTCTCCCGCAGCGCCCCCTCACGGCCGCCCCTGGCCCCGCCCCGCGCGGCGATACCATCCGCCTCCCACCGCGGGGGGGATCCAGGCGCTCCAACCCGCACAGAGGGGAAGCCACGACACTTAAGTATTTATTATTTTTCTTGTTATTCACAGTTTTTTCTCTCTTCAAATAGAGTTTCTCTTTGATTTCAACTGTGGTACATATCACAGCTTTGGGGCTTTTATTAAAAGTGGATAAAGGTAGGGTTTTTCAGATTGAAAGGCGTGGAGAAACGGAGCTTTGGATCGAAGATAATGCACAGTAGGTCGATAGTATGCACCAGCAAGGGATGTAAATGAAAATCCAGGCAAAAACCCTCTCCAGGGCACTTCTACACATTTGCTTTCATAAAATCGAGCAAGGCCTTCACAATAAAATAAAAAGCTGTAAAGAAAACCCAGATAAAATGAACATGGGAATCCTTTGTTAAAGGAAGCTGTGCCCCAAAAAATCCCCCAAAATCTCCACTAACCCCAAAAAAACACACCCTGCAAAACCAAAAGAATCATTCCAGAAGGAACCGTAAAATTAAAGGCTTTGGCAAAACACCACTAAATGTGGGAACAAAGAGCTGACTCCTCATTTTCAGTAGTCCCATATTAAAAAGCAAGTCTCCACAGAGACTCAGCAAGGGAAGTGTGTCAAGCACTTGTACTAATATCCAAATTCCTGGAGTCTTGTTCTAACCCTTCAATGGTGTTTTGCAGGCTGGTAAGGCAGGAGAGTGTCATTTCTTCTGCCACCTCCACAGAGAGCTGGAAACAAGAACCAGAAGTTAATCACTGATGGGGAAAAGGAGCATGAACTCCAGAGTATGCAATTCCTGAAAACACAGAAAATTGAAATTGGTTCCCAGCGGATGGCAATGCTCAGACATGTGCTTCATATCACTGCAGACATTCCCTGCTCTGAGGAGCTTGATGGGATTGAAGAGTTCACAAACCCTGATTAAAGCCCAGAGAATTCAGCACCATTTCTTTCCCACATGCCAAGTCAATTCAACTCTGGATCCTGCAGATGGCTCAGGAAGATTTTGGGGTTACATCTCAGCCAGCAAAGGCCCAACTACACCTGGAGCTGTGTTTTTATACCCTTGAACTTGCCCAAGCACGAGGGCAATGCTGGGAGGATGGCACCTCCCACAGGAAAGGTCTCATCTTGGAATGTATGGCTCAGTTCACGTTCCAAACTGAAGCCCTCTCACTGAGAAAGGAATAATTTCTTTTAGACCTGCGAAGCTCCAGAAAACACAGAAATTTGTTTCAAAACCAAAAGAGCTCACAGCAGTCAGCATGATGAGTTTCTAATCCATAGTTTGTAAATCACAGAATATTCTGAGTTGAAAGGGACCCACAAGCATCACCAAGTCCAACTCTTAAGTGAATGGCCATAAAGGGACTGACTCCACAACCCCGGCATTTTTAGCACCACACCGTAACTGAGTTAATCTCAGGGTCATACATGTTATTCCATAGGAAAACCACGGATGACATGAAAAATAAGAGCTTAGAGATTCAGTTTGAGTAAAGGTAAATTATTTTTAAAAAATCATAAGCTCATGAAGTCATAACTTCATAGTAAAAAAGAGTATATTAAAATGATTTGCCCCATCTTTATGCAGAGATTATACATATTTAAAATACTATTTTCCAGGTAAACATAATAAAAACATTATTCAAATAGCAGTTAAGATATCCTGCATTTCAAGATTTTTTTTAGAAGGCTGCTTTCCCACTACACTGTTTTCAAGTATATCAGTCAGGTGAATCAGTCAGTGGTATAAAAAACTTCTGTTTTTTCTGCTGCGCTGTCTTCCCCACCCAGTTTCTCCTGGGCACCCAGTTCTCATTCTGCAAGCACACCAACTCCTGTTTCACTGGATTCTTGGATTTGGAAAGGCCACTTTTTTGTAGACAAAGGGAACTGCAAGCAGTGAGTGTCCCACGTCCAGCCACCTGCCGGCTCAGTCGGAATCATCGCCACAGCCGTCGCTGCCTTCGAGGTCGCTGCTCTTCTGCAAAGCAAAACACAAAATGCTTGTCAGGGCTGCACCCACACCCACACCCTCACCTGAATCACAGACACTGACTTCAAACTTCTCCACAAGTCTAAGAAAATACTCCTGGGTCCCTACTTCATGGGTTAGACACACCTACGGTAATAAACACCTCTGATGGTACAGATGCTTCTTATAACAAAAAACATACTTGGGATTACGATTACCAGAGAGGAAATTTCTTCTTTCTACAACATTTAAAACTCCTTAATTACAACCTGCAGTATGTGGGAAATTTGAAAGTGGGATGGTAACATGAAATGCTGACATTTAAAATAAATGCAGGTGAGAACAGTTAAAGTGCTTTTTTTATACAAGTCTCTCAAAAGCTAAGCTTGGTACATTGTCTAAAGCCAGATTCAAGAATTTTGTCTGCTGCAGAGAATTTATACCCAACTTGTATTGCAGATAAGCCAGGGCTCACTGATACTTGTTTAAAAGTGAAGTCACTTGCACAAAGTAGTACTAAGGAAAGACTACAAATGTTAGAAACTTACAAGGAGACTGAAGTCAGAGCTCCTCTCTGGGAGCCACTCCTTCAGGAGTAAGGCAATATGGTGCGATTAATTTGGGGGGTTTATGTATTTTTTTGAAGCAAGTATTTTAATTGATATGACTGACATAAAAGTATTTTTATAAAGAGAAACTAGCATAGTATATATCTATAGTTCTATGTATCTGTAGTATATATCTGTCTGTAGTTATCCTTTTTTTTCCCCTCACCACCACTTGCTGAAAACACTGAATCCCACAAATTTAACACCGGCCATTTAATATCCTACTACAAAACAAACTCCAAGGCACTCACACAGCTGACTTCATACCAGCAAGCACAGCTCACTGAAGAGCAAACAGCCTGCAAAATCTCAGCAGACTCTGTCATATCATGCCTTATTTATCCTTCCCAGACAGCTTGTGCTAACTGTGATGCCAAACCCAAACTTGGTTGGGTCTATCTGCAGGGAGCAGAACCTGCCTGCTTCCAGGAATACAGCAGGGATTGGGAACCTGGCAGCACCAGGTCCTGCCAACACCACCAGCTAAAGGACTCTGAGCCACATGGTCTCTTTGGGTCCCATTGAAACAAACCAACGTGGCTTTTGCTGTGCCCTCCTGTCACAAACATCCCTCTCACATATCCAGAATTCAGAATAAAACTACCAAAAGTACAAAAATAACCCTGAGAAACTTATGCTTGTGCTATTCAACAAGGCTGTAAATTTTGTATCATGCAATGAAACTCTTTCTTGAACTCAAGCATAAAATAGCAGAAACATAATTTTTCTCCATTTCTCCATCTCCAACATTCTCCATTTGCTAGACAAAATAAAGCTAATTTTAAGGATTCTGTTAAATGAAAAAAGGCCATTATTTTCTTCTGTGTTGCACTACACAGGAGTGTTAGCCCTGCCCATCATTCATCCTTCAAGGACTTGCCAGCTTTTAACTGAAATTTCCTTTTTGGCAAAAATGTATTCTACTCCTTTGCTGTATTGCACTTCATTGCTCACAGGAGTTCCTGTTGGCACAAATCCAATTCCACAATATCCCAGTTACTCAGAAGTTGTTCTGATGGTCTATTTTGAGCTCATGGCAGATTAATTTAAAAAAGCTGGCCCTAAATTTCCCTGATCCCAAACCTTATCTGGTAACAAAATGAGAATTAGCCCAAAATCGGAGACTACAAAAAGCCAGCAGGTATTTAAAGCAAAACTGTCAACCTGAAACCTAGATTCCCAAACACTTTCACAACAGCAAAGGCTGACAACGTGTCCAAAATTTCTGTTGCCAGTTTATGATTATGCAAATTGCTTGTGCTTAAAGCTTTCCTTCCTCCCTCCTCAACTACTCCCTGTAAAACCCTGCAAAAACAATGCTTTGTACAGTTCATTCCACTATCATCAAGTGCACAAAGACAGAAAAGATTATACACATTTCATACTCCAGATGACTGTCATTTCCACGGCATTGCCTGGAAAACAAAAATGGTACAAAGGGAAGAGATGTTTCAACTTGACAGCTTCCATTTGTAAAATAATGGCTTCAGTCATTACCTTTGCAGTTTTGTTGTTAGTTTGCATCTCAACAGTAGAGGAGTTGAAGTCATGAATGGGGAGGGTTTTTAGCCAGTTTGCCATGGATTTCTCCTCCCTTTCCGTGTTGATAATGGTAGGATAGATGTACTGCTCTTTGAAAACAGCAATTTTCTCCTCCTCCTCTGTCCACTCCAGTGGCTCATGCAGCCCATCATTCCCAAAACGCCTGTTGTATTTTTCAAAGTGTACTTTCTCCAAAACCAGCCCAAGTCCTGGGGCTTTGGGGACATCAACCTTCTCCTCTCCCCAGCTGCGCTCCATGATGGACTCAGCAGCATAACCCTTCACAATTGCTATCACCAGCCCAATCATCTTCCTGATCTGGTGCATCATGAAACTCTGACCCTTGACTTGGATCACTGCAAATTCCATGTTTTCCCTGACGAAGGGCTCTCCACAGTACATCTCCATGATGTACCTCTTGGCACTGGGGTCCCTGGGGCCCTTCTGGGATGTGAAGTTGTGGAAGTTGTGTGTCCCCTTGTAGCAGGCCAGCAGCTGATTGACCCTTTCAAGGGTGTCTCTGTCCAGCCGATAAAGCTCCTCCTGCCCTTCATGGTCCTTATGGGCAAAGGCAAACGTGGGCAGCATGTAGGAGTAGGTTCTGGCATCACATTTGTTCTTGGAGTTGAATCCCCCAGTGACTCTCTTCAGGCCTGGATTTAAAAGTGACATTAGGTTTTTGGAACAAGAGGGTACAGATTGATTGTGATCTCACTCCTACCAATACGAATATTTTTCAAGCAAAATATAAACAAAAAGTAGATTTGTTCAAAAGAACCCCAATTTCAAGCTAATAGAAGCGTGTTAAAATTAAACCCTTTATAAGTAAAATTATAGAGGCCTTCTGCAGGAGAAAGCTTTTCTTGAAAACATTTTCTCTGCCCATTTCAGTGTTCTTACCCAGAATTCTGATGTGAGAAGGAAGATGATTATTGATCTTTTCTAAGATGTCATCTATTAGCCTGACCTTCAGTGACACAATCTGTCCAGCTGCAGACACACCCTGTAAAAACCAAAAACCACAAAACCCCACATAATGATGTACTTTGGAAGCTCTAGGATAAGACTTGCAGAACTGAAATAACTGAGTAACAAGTTTATTTGCTTGTACTTTAATTTAACAGAGGACAAAAGGAGAAGTTTCAAGGAACATTCACTTGCTGCTGGATCTCCCTCTGGACAATGCTTCAGCAGTCCATCCCAGCAGCAGAGGTGTGCAAACCCCAGAGCTCAGGAGAGCACAGCCCTGCCATACCTTATCTGTTCGAGCACAGCGCTGGAAAGACATCTTCTTCATGTCCTGCCCGTGGTTCTCTGGGATGCACCCTGACTGAACAAGGGCAGAGACCAGGTCATCTTCAATGGTCTTGAACTGTGAAGATCCCACGTTTCTCTAACAGGCCATATGCAGTAAAAATAAGAAACAGAACAATAACTGGATAAATGAAGATGGAAATTTCATTAATCAAATATTGTTGTGACATTCCTTAAAAGTCTTCCCTTTGCAGACTTAGGAGCCATTCTTTTACAAACCTAACTGTATTTTACCAGAGTGTTAGTAAAACATCATTCTGATTTAGCTGTTACTGTTACAAATAAGGACTCATTTCTAATTTCACTGTGCAACACTTCTGGAAGTTCTTGAGGATTCCTTCAACAGCACCAATACTGTCCCAGTGCCAGCAAGTCAACAGATGCTGCTGCAAACCCAGCCTCTACCTATTTTTCTTTTAGAAATTAGACTGGGTTCTTTTGCTCAGTTCACCTGATGTGCCTGTAAGCATGAGGTTTACTGCTGGTGAAAAAAATCTCCTTCGTTGTATAAGCATGAAAGGCTCCCTTCCCTGTGTGCAAGATTGTCAGGTATCCCCTGGAGCCTCTGAAGTATTCTTTAAGTGTATGGAGCTTGCAGTACGTGGAGAGGAGCAGCAGATGGAGCAGGATCACCCTCTCGCTGCCAGCTCTGTGCCTCAGACCACCCTGCAGAGGCACGTCTGGTGCTGTGACAAAGCACTGTCCCTACAATCATCAGAGATGTATCACTGGTCTTCTAAAATTATATTATTACCCAGCCATTTGAAGCCATTCACACACTGTTCCTGCCCTGGTTTTTCACACTGCAAATGCTCAACTGTTTCCCTATCCAAGCACTCTGACTAAACATAACAGAGACTCCAAAACAAAAAATAAGCTGGAGATGCTGCTTTGCCAAACCACATACTTGCATGCCATGGTAGCCTTTCCCTGAATATGCCATCAACAGCACGATCTTCCTTTTGGGTAACTTCTTATTCTGATCCTCTGCATCTTCTTCATCCGCATCACTCTTCAACTTTTTGTTCTGATGCCCGTTTTCTTCCAGCCTTTGAACCACCTCGCTGCTGCTGTTGAGTCTCTTTGTCTGGCTGGCAACCGCTGCTATCAAATCCTCAGCCATTGTAAGAACCTGCAGGGGAAACAACCGCCGATGGGACGAGCACGAACGGCACGAAACTCGGGCAGAAAGCGACAGCTCCGCCCCCGGGGCCGCAGAAGGCGACAGCACATGAACAAGTCTGAGGAAGGGAGGGCGAACACCAGCACCCCTGTTCCCCCCTAGGCTGTGCCACCATTCCCTGCAGGAGGCAGGCAGGGCCTGCGCTGCCCGGACACCCGGCGGGCCGGCTGGGAAGGCCGGCAGGGCGAGCGGCCGCACCCGGCCTGACCCGTCCCCAGAGCGGGGCAGGGCAGGGCCCGGCAGTACCCACGCTGCGCTGCCGCCGCCACGGCCCGGCGCACGCCGCGCTCCCCGGGGAGGAGAAGGCGCAGCTCACGACCCGGAGCCCCCACCGCAACATCGCCCCCGGAGCCGCCGGGCGGGAGAGGCCGCGCCCGCCGCCCTCAGCCCCGCGCCCGCCGCCGCCACTCACGCGGGCGCTGCGCAGCGACAGCGCCGCGCGGGGCGCACACGCGCGCGCTACGGCGGCCGCGCGGGGACACGGCGGGGAGGGCGGAGGAGCGGGGCCGTGAGGGCAGTGGGGCGGGCTGAGGGAAACGCCGTGAGGGCAGTGCCGTGAGGGCAGTGCCGTGAGAGCAGCGGCGTGAGAGCAGCGGCGTGGGCTGAGGGAAGCGTTCAGCAAACCGAGCCCTTCCCGACTCTCTCTCTCAGTGGCAAAAGGGATGGCGTGTAAAGCCAGCTCTGCTCCGGAGCTCCCAGCCTGACAGCCCGCCGTGCTCAGGTGTTGGCGGTGACCAGGGTGGGGGTATTGCCCTGCTCAGCCCCACCTCCTGCACACGGGTTCTGCGCACCCCAAAACTGTCGTATTGTTAAATAAACAAAAAGCAGGGGAAAAGGCAAACTAACATTCCGGCGGTAGGTGGTGGCTGTGTAAGTAATGCAGCCCATTTTTCTTTATCCATGGGGAAACGGGCGCTGACGGCGCTGCAGTCCCGGCGAGGACGAGGGGAGGGAATAGTTCCCGAGGCACACCGGTCTGCAGTGACAGCTCACGGCTCCCTTCCCACAGCGATGTCACATTGGTCCCCCTTTCCACACACCTTCTCTTGGTGCCTGTGTCAAGCATGGGCACCTCCGGCTCCACTTCCCCTCAGGATTTCCTCCAGGCAGCTTGCTCAGGCAATCCTTGTGCTCATGTTTCGTGCAGCAAGTTTTATCTGCAGTGATGCACTTCATGGGGGAGCTGAGCTCAATAGGAGCCCTTGCCAGGCCACATGTCCCTCCCAAAAAGCCAAATGCACCTGGAAGTTTTTTACTCCAGCTCTCTGTAGGACAGAGCTACCCGTGGGTTCCCTGGCATGTTATGAGATTATTGTATTTCCATTTATCCATTCAGATGGAACATGGAAAGGTTGACATTTCCAAGCGGGCCCGATTATCACAGGCCTATTATTTCAGCTAATAAGGGGAAGAAATGCAGCACATCCTTTTCTGAACTGACACTTCTGAGTTATTTCAGGAGTGGGATGGAGCAAAGGGGAGATTTATCACAGGGTCCCAGCTGCACTTTGCTTGGAGAAGTGATAAAGGATGGCCCGTCACAGTGCAGGGCTGCTGCCAAGGGAAACAGGAATACAAATTTCTCTATCACTGCAACCAGGGTGTCTGAATCTTTTTTTGCCTCATTTCCTTAGGAAGTGGATCTTATGCAATTGTCTGTCCACCACATCCCTTCCTCCTGCTTCCCCGCCCTGATTTCTGAGTTTGGCTCCTTTCAGTAAATGTGAGAGAGGGAAGAAGGCGCCAGTCTATATGGAAAACAGTGATGGGACAGGATAAAGACTTGCACGGATATCCCAGGAGGGAAAAAGCTTTGGTATCCCAGCTCCTTACCCCTTCTAAGAGCAGCCAAGAAGCTTCAAAACAGGCAGCACAAGCTGTGCTCTTAACCTCTCACAGCATGCACTACCTTCCTTTTTTAACTTACATATTTTATCTTGAAACACCCATGTATAATTTATCTATTTTATCTTGCTACCAAAAGCAAGGGGAAATCGAAGTGACTCGCCAGAGCTGGGAGAGCCAGACCCTCAGGAGGTCCCGAGTTCTCTTGGCACTGAAACCAGCATCGCCAGAGCTCTCCAGGTGCCAGCCTCGCAGACACCTGACCTTTGTCGAGCGGGCAGCAGAATGGCTGCACAGCGGGGCTCTGGGATGCTTTTTGGGGCAGTTCGTTTAATTCTCCTCGCCCCGCACTGCGCGGGGTGCCGGGGCGGCGGCAGCCTGCAGATGGGGCTCTGGCAACGCGCAGCGCCAGCTCCCCGCTGTCCGGGAACAGCCCCGGCCGCAGTGTCCCCTGCCAGCCAGGCACCTCTGGCACTCCTCCCAGCCCGGGGACACTGCGGGCTGTCCCCTCCGGCCGGCAGGGCAGAGCCCATGGCCCCGCCGCAGCTGGCTGTCCCCTCTCTGAGCAGCCTGCTCCTGCTCCGCTGTGGCAGTGTCACCCAAGCAACTTTCTCATCTTCCTCCCCACAGCCTGCTTTGGAAAAGGAGGTATTTATTTCAAGAGGATTTGCTTTCAATTCACAGAGAAATGAAATTTCTTTTAAATTAAAAAAAAAAAAAAAAAGGCTCCAAGGAAAGCTTGTGTTATGAAAAATGCTTCCTTCCAATTGTTTTCTGTTAAAGGGAAGGGAAAAACTGCCAAACTGATGTTGAGTTTAAGGGCTTTGCTGCACAGCACTAGAAGTTACTAGGAGATACCAAATGTTGTAGTTAAAAGCCATTTACATCCATGCTGGGAACTGGTGACGTGCTAAACTCAAAGAAAGAACAACTTATTCTGCTCCTCCCCAGCAGTTGTATATTGGGCATTAGCTGGAAATGTGAAGAAAAATTGTGCACATTTGGGAACTCAGTTACCCTCTGTTCATGATAAGAGGAAACCTGTGTTTGACATATGCTTCAGCCCCTTCTTAGAAATACACTGTTTAACATGTTTTTTAAAGGCATTCAAATCCCTTGCCAGGTTTCATCTCCCAGGAGAGGGGGTGGTTCTGACTCTATTGTCCCTAAAAAGGCTGTTTTTAGAAAGAAATGTCCCAGGGAAGTTTGCATCTCTGCACTACGTGCCATTCCTCACCCAGGGAATGGTACTCATGCTTAGTGCTACATTTATGGAAATAAATCTAAATAAATCCAACTTCTAGCATTTCTCTGGAGAGCACGAGGTCCTGCCCTGCAGAGCTGGGCCAGGGTATTGTTTCCCTGCACAGAACCCTTCCCCTCCTGGAGTGTGAGGTGACCAGGCACAGGGGGCCACTGCAGAGAAGCCAACATCAAGTTAAACACCAGAGAGCTCAAACGTGCTGTGGAGGAGTTAACTCCTCGTGAAATAAAGCTTTAAAAGAGCTGGAAGCAGAATAATTGATCTTTGTATGGCCTTGGTTCAACACCCACCCACCCGTTTCTGCTTCCTTGATGTCACTGTCACCTCTGATCTTTCAGAGTTGAATGAGTGTGTTTTTGCTGACGTACTTACCAACAACTAAATATAAAATGTGGGAACAAAGCCAAATGCCCTGGAAGAATTGCTCGGGTTTGTTTTCTCCTAGAATCAACAGCAGCATGACGTCACAGTCAACATCCAGAAAGTTGTGCAATTTCCACTGGTGCTTTTGAACTGTCCAGGTCCCATGGTTCAGTGCTTTTAGAAAAGTGTGTATTTCTGTTGTTGAAGTTTTCCCAGCTAGCACTTTCCCCCTCTGCTCTGCTGCCTGTGAAAGGGCCCAATGGATTCAGCAGAGAGTTCTCTGTCTACACAGGCATGTGACACATGGTGGTCCATCTTTCATTTGGCTACAATATTTTCACCTGAACCTCTGAAATTTTTAATGGGCAGCTTCAAAAGAAACCCCCCTCCCTTACCCTCAGCATTAGAAACTTTTACATGTATTATGTACTACTATCTCATGCTACAGAGAATAAACATACACAAGGGTTTTCTACAAAAGGGAAAAAATGTTAAAAAAAAACCAAAAAAACCCCACCCTGCAAACTCTCAAAAAACAAAGACCCAAGTGTGCTGAGCAGAAAAAAGAACCAGCAGCCTTTGTAATTACTCAGCTCTGACCAGCCTTCCAAGGGCTGCCGTGGGGTCTTGCCCAGGTTGTGCCAGCACGTTTTCAGCACACAGAAGTGCAGTTTCTCAGAGCTGACCCCAGCACTGCTGGTGCTGCAGCTCTGCAGGGAGAAAGGATCGACTGTCCCTGCGTGTGAGCCAGCATCAACAAGAGCCCAGCGTTTCTAGGCAGGACCGTTCTCACAGAGCAGTTCCCTGGGGTGGGAAAGGCAGGGCCTGGAAACAGAGGTTATAAACAGGGCAGAGCAAGGAAAAAAACAATTCCAGCTCACGGTAAATGATGATTTTGAAATAAGATTCTTTCTTACAAAACTACAACACTGTGCAGTAACTGTGGGCTGATGCTGCATCACACAGGGCCTGGTGGGCAGGACTTTCCTCAGTGATGCTCATGGGCAACAAAAACAGAGTTCAGCAAGTGGAGTTTTGGGAAATGTTTGGTGGAATTATGGTATTTGGCTTCTGAAAGTTTACAGCTGTGTGGCTGAAATTTCTGCAGGAATGGAAGGACTGGACTAATTAATTCAGCACCCCTACCACATCCCAGATGCAAGGCTTAGCTTTTCCTTCTAGAGTATTCCAGTCCAGACAGAACAGGGAACTGTCCTGCACTCAAGTCAGGACCAACACTCTCAGCATTCTCCCTGTTCATTTTGCCATGTTCAGTGACTTTTGGCAAAGTTACGTGGGCAAGAGAATTCTAAGCCATGTGCCTGCTCTGTTCAAAAACCAAAACTGCAATGCATACAAACACAGCAGGAAAATATTTACCACTGCAGGAGGAGAGGACAAGTAATATGGACAGAGAAACCAGGAATTGCAGCTCCCACTCAGCAACTGGCTTCACCTTTCCCAAATTCACAGGCTTCATGTGAATTCAGGAAAGGTGGCTCTTCTGCCCAAGCTTCACCTGCTGTGATAAGGGGGCAGAAAACAGCCCTTTTTTACCCAAAAGATGAGGCAGGTAGAACCACACACATTATAAAGGCCTCGCTCAGATGCCACCTGAACTGGGATCATAAAGGACAGAAAAAAGGCCACTAACAATTTCAAATCAATTTTATTGTCTTAAATCGGTGTTGTACAATTTAAAGCCAAAAAAAAAAAAAAAGTCACACAAAACACAAATAAAAAATGTTGACAAAGTATCAAGCATTACCTTATAAAGAACATCATCATACACTCTCACAAACCTGAAGGTACGTGTAATTAGACTGAGGTTTCTTGAAATCTATTAAAGACGCCAGACACAAACGCTGCAACAGCAACAAAGCCATGACAATAGTAGGTGGACTACACTAGCAACTTCAGCAATGGC